GGCAGTAGGAAAGCCAGGTTTAAGTCGTATATAGTTTGCCAGCTTTACAACTAGCAACTTGGCTCTTGGGCATTTGAAATAGTACTCCTAGTCTTCACGGTCTGTTAAGACTTTCAAGAGTAGAAGTCACCACAAAGTATGAATCGGACTAAAGCAAGGCCCATCCTCAAATAGTCTTCAGTGCGTCCTTTAGTGGCTTCGTATTTCACACACTTATCATGGGATTTTTTCCATTGACTAACTCCTCCTTCGCACTGCCTTCAAGTTGAAATGGAATTTCGCTTTTCTGTGTTCTTACTCCCCGAGGCGCGTATTCCTCTTGTTTCTCACTTTGGGTCAACAGCCTTAGTCACATTTGACTATCTCCCCATTTACTAAGACCGTCCGCGAAGTCCGATCTATTGGAATAGCAGCCTTCCTACTCTAAAGCACCTCAATATTAGCTTCTTCAAGTTCAGGGGTCATTTCACGCCGTAAAACATATTTGTGGAACATCTCCGAGTCACTCTTCACAGAACCAAGTCATAAAGAGCCTGCCTCATTGGTACAGTCTTGTTGAGACAGCTTTCCTGTTTACGACGAGTAATTCCAACAGCAAAGCTTATATGAGGAATCGTCTGGATCTCTATCTAAGGTACTCTACTTACAACAGATACCTTACTCCTCCAACTAGGTCTTTTCTAGCCCCGCGGTCCTCACTGTAATATTCCATGGACGCCTATGCCAAGAAGCTTGATAACGGACAACCGAGAGCCAGTCGATGCTATAAATCAAATATAGCATTATACTAGTAGGTGAACTCGTCTTCCACAGTCCTGTTAATTCCCACACGGGCCGCATCAGTTATAGTTTGCGTTGTCTACGATGTGGCTACCAAGAATTGCAGCGCCAAGTCCTACTCTGAGTTGGTTATATAGTTTGCTGGCAATTGTAGCCTTATTTTCGCTAGAACATCACGGAACCTATGAGCAAATAGCTTTGCAGCTACGCTCCCTTGAACACTATACTTGAGAAGGATGGAAACAATCTACCTCGCGTCAGTTTCTGAGTATCGAAACGTGGTGGCCTCACAAAATGCTCAAAAACGAGACCCCCATGACGCAATCAAGGTACATCCCGAATTGGAGGTTGCAGAACGACCTCAGCCTGGGGGTGACGCGTCTAGCTTCAGTCCATACATCACTGTGACGGTTCAGTGAGTGGGTGAAGGAACAAAGAGGCGCAAAGAACTGGTCATACTTGGTCGTCGCTTAGGCAGGCAATCCTTCTGGCGCCGCCAAGGCCTTAACGAAGAGTCCAGACCTCATAGCATGTACGCATTGTTGACGTATGCATCACCGCCTCATCATATCTATGACAATCGATACAGTATTTAGTTGTATGAGCTCAGTGAGAGCGCGTGAGAAATCGAGTCCGCCATAGGGCTGATATACATGTTAGAAGAGACGAAAAAAGGTGGATGATCACCTTGGCAAATCTACAATTCCATGTTGGCAATCTCCACAGATTCATTTCATGGTGCGTGAGCAGACTTGGCGTTGCAACTGTGCGACTGTAGTAATTAATGTGGCAACCATCCGCGTGAGCATTTGTTGTTCATGCACTGTATTACAGGCCTTCTCCGCATCCAGATCTAGAACGGTCTGTGCCACGACTTCGCATTTAATTGACAATTTTTGTGTCTGAATATCACGAACATTCTGTCTGATCTGAGATGAGAGGCCCCACGCGTTTTAATCGCCGATGTCTGAGACGCAAACAAGTTTAAAAAGAACTCACTGATCTACAAGCTCATGTCCTGAACCTGTTCTTTCACTGGGTGCGGTATCAGCGGCAGTGGAGAGCTCTGGAGGGAATCAACCAATTGTGGCGCAGTCCATGACGCATTGACCAACAGGATGTCAGGGAATCGAAGCTTCCATTGAAAAATAACTCTAGATTTAGTGGCCCTCACCCCTGCTAGGCCCTGCAACCCCCCTCCCCTTTAACCAGAAGAAAAAAAGTCTGTTGAAATCGTGGGTTCCTTCTTATGCTTGTTTTAGGGGGGCGCTCGCCTGCAAAAAGCCCAATCATTCCATTCCATCGTGTCAAACGCTGGACATCACTTCGCCTCAACTTGTCTCCATCTTTCTTTTCCATCCGCTCTTTTGCCGTCTTTTATTTCCTTCGTGGCGCTGTCTTTTTCTCTACCTCCTTGCACTTCTAGCACCACTGCCACCTCGAAACGAGCCGAGCCCGATTGCGGCCGCACGAATCGAGACACGTCTTCTTCTGCTCTTCGATGTGAGGCTCGAGCCTCCTCTACCTTCGCTCCAATTCTCTTCGCCAGCCGACGCGGCTCCCTCATTTCAAGATGCGCGTTTCCAACATGCGCTTGCCTAACAGCCTGCGCAACTTGAGCGTGCGCCTCTCGAGCATTCGCATTCCTCATCCTCACCCGCGGCGCATCATCCTCTACGTGACGACAACAGCCCTCCTCGTCGTCATGATCCTTACCTTCACCATGAGCGACAGGCTATTCGGCAATGGGCGTTCCGGCTACGATCCTCTTCTATCTCGAACCAACGATTACCGCCTCCTCACGAGTACACGGAATAACTTAGGTTTCTACAACTCTATAAATGTTAAGAAGACGGGCCAGAAGATTATGAATCCTACCCTTCTTGAACTGCCAAAAGGCAGCAAGCACGACTTCCTCGTCATTGCGCGCGCTCCCCACGTCGACCAAGATATCAAGGGCAAGAAATACAGACGAGCTCAGCAAGTCGCCACCTTCGTTAGCCTAACATGGGATGCATTCGGCCGTCCGGAGCTCACTGCGGACAACGATTGGCATAAGATGCTCGTAGAGGACTTTACAGAAGCTCAAGGCCCCGAGCACCACTGCAAGAATCAGCCCGACATGGATAAATACATTGGTCCTGAGGATATGAAGCTCTTCTGGAGGAAGAATGGTACCCCCATGCTCATCTTCACCCACCAGGTCGATGACGAGAACCTCTGCGAGGGTATGTACATTGTCGATGCACGTGCAGCTGTACCCGAGCTTGTGAAGCAGATGGGCAAGCACGCGAAAGAACTCCCTGCCATCGAATTCGACAAGCCCGTCCTCCTCCGTCGCCAGCCCCCCGAGGGCCAAGAATCCGACGCCCGGTATCAACGCGAGAAGAACTGGGCTCCTGTCTATAATCCCTTCAGCGCCGATGATGACGAGATGATGTTCATGGTAGAGCCTAGCCAGCTGTTCCGCTTCAACTCGACCGACGAGCCTGTCCAGAACATGGAAGCTGAGCCCGAATCCGCCGTAGACGAACCTTTCCCTCCCGACAACGAGAAGAAGACATGGCACTCTGCCGAAAAGAACTGCATGAACGACGTCATGCTCACCGACAAACGCGTGCATCAGTCGACGCCCATGCTCAGCCTCACGCTCTGCAATCGTGGTACTTGCGAGCCGATGGAGAACAACACGGTCATCATGGGCATGGTGCAGATGCGCTACGATCCTCCTCAATATACAAACACGTGGTACGACCACCGAATAGTTGTCTATTCGCCCGTCGCGCCATTCCATATGATGAGCGTCAGCAAGAAGCTCACCTACCACGGCGAGACCAACAGCAGATACATTTGGACAGGAAGCATGGTGTATCACGGCGATCAACCGACGCAGAGGAGCCACGGGTACTTGGACGACGAGATCTGGCTGAGCTTTGGCATTGGCGACTCGTCGCCTGGATGGTTGGACATCAAGGCAGAGGAGTTGGTGCTGGACCACTATTTCTGCCAAGGGGCGACACCGGGGTATCGGAGCAGCATCAAAAAGCACGCGCAATGACGAGAACACGAACAGAAAGAAACAATGTAATTGGTAATACGGATAGAGTGGCATCGTTAATTTTTGCAGTTGTATTACAGCACGGCATACATATCACCTGTGGATAATTCAGGATTACTTGGAGTTGCGGTAGAATAAGGAAGGGCATCTAGAGAATTGATTGAACTGAATTGACATTGACATTGACATTGTGACTGACTGATCAGATCATGATCGTGGTGTTGAGTGAAACGATGGAGGTTGTGAGCCCCGCAGTACAATTCATTGCTTAATTTCGAGTGATGGCTTGGCAGGGGATGATGAAATGGATGCTCTGGCGGCGATGGATTGGAAGGACGTGCCTAAAAACTTGGCAGCAGGTGGTCATTGGTGGGACCGTAATTACCTACAGGGGATAAAACACGGCGGCGGGGCGGAAAGGAGACGGAGGGGGAGCGGGGGACGCTGGCGGTGTCAGCGTCGGGAGTCGACCTTGGTTGGCGTTGGTCTGTGGTTTTGGGGGCCGTAGGGTAGGGCTGAGGGTGAGATGGACAAGACTTGGATCTTATGAAGATCTGTACATAACTTTAATTCGAAGATCAATGGAAGATTATATAGTCATTGCTACAACATATACTGGCATCGTAGGAGGGTATTATTCTCTCATACCGCAAAGTTCAAAGGATTTTCCGTGCACCCGTCTTTCTGGTCTCTTGGCAGCCTACGACGATGGACACAGCTTTTCGGGCTCAGTTATCAAGCGCATTAATTAACAGTTCAGACAATTCAGCGACTGAAAACCATTACTTCTGGGTCATCCTGAATAACATTTGATATCAATATGCTTTTGTTCAACACAAGGGTCCTCGGTGCGCGGGGCCTCAATTGTAAATTGTGTTGCACCACTCAGTGAGAAGCGAATTGAGACGCGTCTCGCTTCCTCATGGCGCGCCTCATTTTGTGCGAATGTGTCAGTGTCTGCGGCCGCAAACCAAGATAATGCTTCTCTAGCCAAGATGTCTAGTCACGAGCCCACTATCACTGCGCCATCCTTAAATCAAGGATAATGACGACTCATCTGTGGCGCAATCGCAATCTTGGCAAATCCCATCTGACATATCCCCTCATTTCATCCTGGGCGCATCGGTGAACAGTCAGCCTGAGCAAGCCCGAACTCATCGTCATGGTCAATCGCGGAGGTCGCAGTAAGGCGTGTAGGACATGCAAGCGAAGACGCGTAAAATGCGGTATCGTCCCTGTAGATGTCGCTTTGAGAGACGCGCTGACTGACGCTCATTGTAGATCACAGCAAGCCGCACTGTCAGCGATGCGAGAAAGCTGGGATAGCTTGTGAAGGCTATGTAACATACGGCGAGTTTGTTGATGAGACAGCGCGATTCGCGAAAGATAAGTCGCCTGTGAAGGACAACCAGGTCCAGGTTCAACTGGCCAACCCATCTCCCGAGGCCATTGAACGACAAATCTGGCATCCACCACCACTGTTACTGGATCAAGATGCCGTAATTCATGCTCACCTACTATCGCGGATCGATGAAGTTACGCCCTTGATGGCCAATCTCGAATCCATGACATTGCCAGATTCTACGCGAAGTCTTGCAGTGCGGGCGTTAGCAGCAGTGTACTTTGGCAAAACAAACGGCGATAGGCGAATCTTTGACCTCGGAAGTAGGGAATACGTCAAGGCCTTGAACAGATTGCAGCTTGATTTGGCGAGTTCAACCGCTGTTCTCGAGTGGGATACGCTTGCGAGTGTAATCTGTTTATGCATGTTTGAGAACATCGTCTTTACAGACAAGACGGGATGGTTGAAGCACTACGAGGGAATAACTCAGTTGGTAAGTTCTTTGATGCGCTGTGATACCCGAGTCCATACTAAATTGTTAATTGAAGGTCAAGTTGAGAGGGCCTTGGAGACACCAAACAGTTCTGGAAAGGGAACTCCTCAGACAGTGCCGGTTCGAGATAGTACGAACCACTTCTCCCAGAACGGAAAATCGCTGACTGGAATAGATATTGTGCGCACTGATAAAAAGAAAGCATTGCTATCTGACACTTCCAGAGTGGCAGACCGTCCCCTGGCCGTCGACTGTACCAAAGACAGCTAGTGATGTCTTGCACGATATCTTTGCTCGCGTTCCCGGCCAGTTGCATGACATGGATCGGGTAGAAAGAGGCGAAGTTAACTACGAGTTCGTCGAAGAGCTTCGGCAGAGAGTCGAGACTACATTGTCCGATCTAGAAGACTGGGAGCAGTTCTGTCAGCACCCTCGGCCTCTCACTGGCTGTCCTTTTACTTCGACACAAGACAGCACTTCCCAACCGGTCAGACACAAAGCCCTTCTTGCGTTGCAAAGAGCAATAATACTCTGTATGACGGGTCTATGTACATTCTTCAACATTCCTCTAGTGGCCGAAATTCCTGCTGTGCTCGAGGACCGGAAAGTAGTCAGGACAGCTATTGCCACTGAGATATGCCAACTGGCAGCGTCGTGTCTTGGACATGAGTCTAACAGCACGGAGTCATTACTCTTCATATTTCCGCTTCAAATAACCAGTATGAACTTCGAAAAGGGCAGTGCAGAGGAGAAAGGGGCCGAGGGGATCATGAATGGGGTCATTGCTGGGACGTATGGATTTGAGATCGGGAGAAGGCGGGAATGGAAAACATCGAGCATAATTTTAATCAAATAATATGTACATCTATAAATTGATATCAAGGGAAAAGTCTAAATAGTTCGAATCATGATCCACTCCAGTTTAGCCACCTTCTTCTCATCTTTCTCATCCTTCTTCTCAGCCTTCTTACTCACCTTGGCGATCGCCTTACCATGCTTCTCTATCAACCTGGCACGATCCTTCTCAACCTCTTCCAGGTCCTTTCTTCGTCTCTTTTCAATCTCGCTGACTTTCTTCTCACTCGAGTCGATAAGTTTCTCCTCTGCTTTGATGTCGATCTCCGTGATCCTATCTTCCAACCTCGCGATCTTGGCCTCGATCTCAATCCGGCTTTCAACGTTGGAGTTATACTGCTCATCGATAGACTCAACAGGGCGAGCAAACTTATCAGCTGCCTTTTCGCGCTTTTGAAGTCGCTTTTCCTGCTTCTTGTGTTTTTTCTTCTCTTTGCCGGCTTGTTTGATGGCAGCTTGTTTTGCGCTGATGCGATCCAGCATATTGGACTGTCTGACCGGTGGCTCAACGTCAAAAGACAAAACTTCAATACGTGATGAGATCTCTTGTAGCCGCTGTAGCGGATCGAGACTCTTGGCCGTGGTGTTGAGTCGTTGCATCACTTCCTCGTCCTTCACCGTCTTCATCACCAAACCCTTTGGTGCGAAGATGTCGCGATTTACCCTCTCGAGTACTTTTCTCTCACGAAAATATGCGGTAGCAGCAGTTCCAGTACCCGCAGCCAGTCCAAGACCTAAGGAAACGCCTTGGGCAATTTCATTCGGGACAAAGCCGAGGCCATCGCCTGCGACTTCCATTGCTTTGAACGGCGCTGGCTCAGCGAGAGCGATGTTTAGGGCATCGATGATGACCATGAACTCTTTTGAAGAGATGCCATAGGAGCCGAGGATAGGGGGATAAGCTCGATGGTATGGTGGAGTTACCTCCATTGACCCAGTGATTGAGGTTGAAGGAATGAGAATGGGGCGCGATGGAGATAACATTGGTGTTTCCATGGGAGGCGAAGAGGGTAGTATTTGTGGAAGGTAAATATGGTCGCTCGGCTGGTATATGTAATCGTGATGAGGGATTGTTTCAGCTGGTAATTCTACTGGTAAGGCCTGCTGTTGATAGTCAAGTTGATGGGGATACATTCTGCGTGAGAGGTGAAGGTTGAATACGTAAAGCAACTTAATGCCGATGAATTTAACTCTGAGATATGTATGTGGCAACTCTCATCTGGGAACGGAACCTGTCTTATAGTTGACCCTCTGTCGCACGTTGGGCGTCCTACATGAGGTTATTCCCAATGGGGAACATTGATCGAGGTGGAGGCTGTCACAGAGCAGTGCCACTGAAATACGGCGCTAGACCGCGTTGGGTTCATTGCGCGAGCCGGACTGCGCCGTCTTACAGCATGCATCAACAGAAGGCCATTGATCGACTGTGAGCGGAAACCATTTGATTCCCAGTTTAACACCTAGCTAGACAGTAACTTTGTGTAAGGCCCATATCTAGGCTGATGAGCATATTCTTTGGTAATCACTTGGAAGTAGGCCTGTATAAGGTAACGGGCATGTTGACAAATGCCGCGACCTAACTATTAGCGGGATGGAACAAAGGTGCCAAGGGTGTACCTTGAAACCACTGCTTTTCCCTCTCCCAGCCGCCAACAATCAAGTGCGTCGAGATCTTTGCTGCACTCAAAATCTGTTCTTCGGTCTCTTTCATGGCATCTGATGGGGCACGACGATTATACCAGCTCAGAAGCTGCACGCCAGTGTGAATAGCCGTTCGGAAAGCCATTTCGTCGCCAATCTCCCCATAACCGTCAATGAAACCTCTGATCATCGTCAAAGCGATATTCGAGCCGTGGAAATGATGCGCCTCATACAGATCGCCTATCATATGTCCCAAGTCGTACACCTGATGGCCAAATTGGCACATTTCCCAGTCAATCAAGATGATGTCTCTAGCGGTGTCACGACCGATTGGAGCAGGAGGGTATTCTGTCAGTATAATACTAGGTATTAATCAGTTTCGCTGCATACGTCGGGTGAAGCGTCCCTGTAACTCACTTTCCCATCCAGCAATCTCCATGGATCATACCTCGATCTGGTCCTCCCCTACCGCTAGTCAGATCATGAAGCTCGAGTTCCGCTCGCTCTTTGACCCTTTCCAGAGCCCTGATGTTCTTTCCCATGATACCGGGAAAGTTCTTCAAGATTTCGATGAGTGTACCGTAGGTAACCTTGTGCTTGAGTCTTTGCATGGGCTCGTTGCAGCCAACCTTGCTTCGGAAGTCTGTTTGTTGAGGTTCTGAGGCCCATTCATGGAAGTGACGCAGCCAGTTTCCAACCTCTTGACTGGTGGACAATGCCTGATAGTTCATCCACAAGCCACTCAGCTCTGTTGAAAGTATGATAGATGCTATGTCTATCAAATGGTGGAAGTCTTATTATACCGCAATACCTCTATGAGCATTGAGATCTAGAAAATAAGTAACAGGGGTCTTGACTTCCATAGTCACCAGTGATGACTGATTCAAGTACTCCAGTAGGGTATTCTCGACAGACTGTATAGAGAACAGGGTTAGGGGACAGCCATTGTCTGGCTTATGCACATCGCCTCTTTGGCTTTTATGGGAAAGGAGATTAGATGTGAACATACGCAGCGTGATAAGTCGAGTTTGAACCCAGCATTTCCTGGTACATGACCAAGTGAATATTTCACGATAACACTCTCCATATCCCAAGCATCGTCTCTGGTGGGCATGGCGTGGATAAGAATGCCTCGATAGACATAGTTGGCGCTGCCACTGCTCACACGTGTGAGAGATGAGCAGGCGAATGCCGTGTTACCGAGCTGCTGAAGAAGGTCTTGCTCCTGCATGTGGTCGCGGGTGACTGAAAACTTTTTGGGTAAATTTGATGTTGACCGGATCAAGGTCAGTCTTTTGCCCATTTGCAGTACTTGCCGATCGACTCATCGTGGTCCTGAGTCAACGAATCACGTCACTGGCGAGAGTACTAACATAAGATGGGACAAAAGTCTGTTACCTAACGTGTCCAACGTCAGATACTATGCTAACTTACAGGTTTGAAATTGTATTCAATCCTTCCTGTACTGTATAGTATGAGAAAACTTTCTCTAGACCTAAGGCGTTTCGATTTACTAGTCCTCTCAGTGCTTGAATATATCCTACTAGCGGCCAGTCGGAAGAGCTGGAAGTTTCTTGCCCTTCACGCCTAGCAGGACAGGATATCCAAGATCCTTGCGGATTTCAATGGTCGAGCCAGAAATGTTGACCTCGTCCTTACTTCCTCCCCCAAACCCAACCTCCAATCCGAAGAAGTTCACTGATCCGCCCGTACTCTTGGCCTTTTGAGCTATATCGTAGACACGCTCGGCGACCTTGGCTTCCAAGGACAGCTTTATCGCCACCTTGTAAGCCAGAATGACTTGGTCAACTCTGGCCGCAGGACCAATGCTGCGAGTAGCCTCAGGCTGGAAGTCTCGGTACTCCTCCATAAGGTTTGGGACATCCCATTCGCCTGGCTTGACAGTAAAAACACCCGCTTCGGCCGCTGACAGCTGTACTGAGATTTCAGACCCAGCCTCCTGAGCTGTGATGAAATCCTCCTTCATCTGATGATCCTGAGTATAGCTCGCCTTAAAGAAATACGCGAAGCGTGGATTGGCGTTCACATTGACGAAACCAAACTTGTCCCAATTCTCCGACTTTGCATCATTGATGTTGAAGGTCAAGTTCAGCTTGTTCTCGCCACCGGCGTCCCTGGTCCAGTTACCGACCGTCTCTGTGTAAGAGTTTTCGATGGTATAGGTAGGTCTCGAGAATCCCCCACTTCCCTGAGGAAGATCAGAAGAACCGTTGACGATATTCCCAAAGTTTAGGGCACAAGGCATGTTGAGGCCAGGATTGGACTGATCCGGCTCACAGGCGCTGAATAGCCTCAGCCTCTGCCGGTTGAGTTGAGCAGCGCCAGGTCCGACAATCTGAGCACGCAAAGATGCTTCAGTCGCAGTAGCGGATTGCTTCTCTCGAGATAGAGCAGCAAAACTTGGATACTATATGCCCGATAGATTATTAGTGCCTTGGTCTGCGATGGGATGGGTTCGATAGAATGCACAATTATCTTACATTTCTTGGAACCCACTGTCCGAAAGACATGTTGCCTCTATACTCGTCGGTCGTGTAATATTCCACTGCTTTCTCGCTTGCCTCTGCATACTCCATGTTCAATTTTCCGACTTTTGCTCGGATGTCATTCATTCGTTTCTCGGCTCCCCTATCTGGATTCTGCCCAAGCCTTACAGCCCCTAGAACTCTGTAGTTAATGTTAGACATCATTGAGTTCAATATCGTGAAGGGTATCTTACTCTTGAAGCCGTTGAGAGTACTTCTTGCTCCCAGCAGTGAATACAGGAGCGTCCAACTGCATGACAACATCGCCAATGTCGTAAGCCCCTTTGTTGGTGATTTCCTGAGGGATATTGTTACCAGCAGGAATGCCCATACCCGCGACAGGAGCAGCATAGAAGATCTCATTCTTTGTGTCAAGATTGCTAAAGAACTTTGTCTGGAGTGCTTTGGTGTAGGCCTTCCAGAGATCCTCGTCCTGCTTGGAAAAGGGCGGGAGCCTAGCACGGCTGGGGCGAGGAGGAGCAGGCATGTTTGTAGTAAAGAGGAGAAAACGGTCTCAAAGATTTGATGCGATGAGATCTTCGACGGAGATTCTATACTTCAAGGTCACAGTGCAAGAGTAGCAAGGAGAAGTATGAATGAGTGGGCTGTTTGAATAACCTCGCGATACCTAGAATTTATATGTAAAAGTAAAAAAGAGGCCTCATGTTCCAGACCAGCTTAAGACATCCAGAGCCAATTGATCTGTCTCAGTATACCAACCCAAATTTCCAGCTATGGCGTTTACTGATGCAGCTGAAACCCCCAGTTGGGCTTCCAAGATCGGACTTGAACCCTTTTCGGCCGACTATTGACAACGCAATGATCTAAAGGCAATAGTCAATGCGAAGTTTTGACTTAGTGGCAACTCTACTGAGTCTTGTGCTTCGAAATAACCAGTCGTGGACTTGGCATGGAAGAGCATTGTCTAATTGGATACCAGACTTCCAGTAGCGCAAAGATGGGGAGCTGAGGGGCGATTTTGATCTTGAGCCTAAGATAGATGGTACTTCCTACTGGGACTAGTTCACATGCAAGAAGAAGTATTTTCGATCACGGAATCCACTAATCTAGATCTGGGGATTGCATCACGCCTGCAGCTCTAAATCGTTAGCCTGAAGTTCCACGCAAGCCGCAGTCGTTCTAGATTGATCAGAATGTCATGAGTTCAGTTTCAGCTGTTGAGTCTACTTCTTCAAGGCATGAGCGTCCATCTCCTCTGGTAGTACATAATCCACTCACGGAGAATGTAGGCGAAGTCGAGGTAAGCTTTAGCTCTCAGCCAGCATGGGCACTCGATACACTTAAAGAAATCATTATAGAACTAATTTATGGCAATCAGTTTACCATAATTCTCCCTTGTGAGTTTATGACCGCGTGTAAAGACATCAATGCAAAGTCTTGCAATAAGCGCTTCCCAAACGACATAGTACTGACACAAATACAGGTGAGGCCCGGGTAAGATTAAGCCGATTCGTCTGGCTAAGGGTTCAAGATTAAGGTATATCAATTTTTCTGGTAGCTATCGATGGTGAGAATAAGATTAAACACTTCTGGTTTCGTATGCATCCCAGACTTGTATATCATGGCTAGAAAAGGTCAGCATCGCCACCAAATGCTCATAAAACATGAGGCGCAATTTTCAGGTGAGTTTGCGCCAGGATTAACTTTTATGGGTTGAGATAGGATAAGGAAGACGGCATCATTTGATGTCTATGTTGACAGTCTCAGTCTTTTCTGATAGAGTGATTCATAAAAGATCACGATATGAACTTGAAAAGATAATATTAGAGGAGTTAGCTGTAGATCATGAGAACGGACTCTAAATACCTCGCATTGTGGACAAACTGATGATAGGAACATGCTACAGGCTCACACGCCTCAAAATTTGCATGTGCATGTTGCCCGGAACCGTTCTATTCAAATTCGCTTCGGGCTCGTATGTTGTGATTGGTGTGTAAATCAGTAGCAGAATCGAAGACCGGTATCAGCTGCTCGTGAGTGCAGTCTGTGAACCGCTCGGGATAGTCTCCTTGGGGCTTGAATCTGCAGTCTCCTTGACGAATTGAGACATACATCTCCACTGCGATAACTTTCTCTGTCAAGCAGTTGTTGGACAAGAGCATGTGAGATTCTCAACAAAAGCTTTGATAATGCTAACGGTATTCAGTAGGTGGTTTGAGCCTGATGAAGCTTTGAACCCTACGTAACCTTCGTCAGCCTCAGGTCAATCAGCTGCACATGGATCCGTGATCGTAACCCGGATCGTCAACCGTCTTAATAACAGTAGTGATCATCAATCCAATTCTGTTCCTTGCTTGAGGCATGGTTTTGGATAGTATGCAAGCCGTAACTCCCCTGGAGAACTGAGAAACATGGGTGTAGCCTCACCGTTACATGTGTCATGAATCATGTATCTGCTTTTGTGTAGGGTCAAGTTAAAGTTTCAAGGTTACCGCGGCAGTGCATATTGCTTTCCATACAATTACTAGGATGAGTATGTTGCAGTTGGGCCATTCAGGGTTTTTGTTGATGTGACCATGAGGCGGGGAATTGTGTGGCCTGCCCCTTTTGACCATGCACAAATAATGTTTCTGTAATCTTCGACTAAGCAAGATCGACGGGAATGAGACCTCATCGTAAGCAAATTGCGACTACGATTAGGTGTTATCATGGTAATGTTAGCTTACGGGCTAGAAAGTCGGCCATGGTTTACTACTGAACCTTTCGCTGTTACTAAATCCCGAACCTGGTAAATCTTGTTGGATGGAAATTTCAGTACCCGGTAACAAATACGATATGATTTCGAACAGGCTGAGCTGAAAAATGCAGGTCGTTGCCTTATCTGATTCTCATTTGTCATAAAACATTTCCCAATCCCCACACAAAACATCTTCAACAATCCCCTGTCATATCTGACAACTTCATATGCCGAACCTCGGTCGTGGAACTGGGGAAGCTGGGGAGGTAGGGTAGCAGTCCTCCGCGTCACTAGGTGCAAGGTTTACGTTTACTATACGCAGTATATTTATTTCCTCAGGATCATGCGATTTTCCCAATCTGGTCCCAAATTGGACTTAGCTAGAGGATCAATAGTGTCAATAGTTGGCCTCGATTAATTCCGATTGGGTTTTTGTATGATGGAGCTAAAGGCCCGCATGGTTTAACGTCTGTTACCGTGAGCACGTACTGCAAGTCTGCAACACGTACTCCGTATGCTGCCGTGAATGAAGGTGATCGTCCCGTGTTAATAAATTAGCAACAGAACGGCGCCTCCGCGTGTCGATGCCGAGCAAGGGCCCTGGAAATGATCGACAGGCCCCAGCCCGATCCTTGACGTCGGCCAACGTTCTTCCTGGGCAGAGACATGGGCATCTGTTCTCGGAACCTAAACTATTCTGGCTTGATGCCTGAATATTGCTTTTTGGGATCGATAGCCTGCATTTGCTCCAAGGACGGGAGCGAAAATGTGATATCAGGAATATCCAAGCCAACATCATGTAGGTACTGGAACATCAACTCTTGTCAAGCCCGTTACAAAGCTGCCGAGTTTCTGTTAAGCTTTGAAAGTTCAAACTCTGTTAAATGGCCGACACGCGTTGCCTTCCACGTCAGTGCACTTCAGACTTTTTCCAAGGCGTTGAGGTCATTGGATTGGACTGTGTGACTGCAATATTACCCCAAGCGCGCTCGCCCTGAAAAAGCCGGCCCCTGTAAACTGCCCAAAACTAGCGAACCTACAGCACGAGCAGGGCAAGGGTAGCATCTCAACACCCAAACGGTCGGTTGAGTCTCGACCCGGAACAATGAACCAGTAACCACAGACCAAATCACGCGACAATTGCAAGATCGACACTAAGTGAACGGTGGAAATTTGAAACATTCTAGGCGAAGAGACGATGGGAAAACGGCGGCGGGCGGTTCAAAAGGCTCAGGCTCGAGTTGGACAATAGAGTTTAAAGCTAAACGCCGGATCGCATCAGCCGCTTCACCAGATTGTTGCACTACTGAGAGCGCTATCAAATGAGATGCCCTCAATTCTGATGAATAAGCCGGGAGATCATGGAGAACCCTTGTTCTGGAGCCTGGGGCTTGGATCCTAGTGACACGCTTTGACTGCTGCAGTCCGCAAAACCTGCAGTAATATTTGGGTTAGTCGGCATTCAATGACCAACAAGACTCGGCATTTCCGGTCTAACTTCCTTACGAATGTCCAAGATGAAACAAGTGCTTCTCTTCTTGGCATACCTCGCCTTGCCTTCACCGTAACGATGCAACCCCGTCCGTCTTCAACATGCTAAACGGTCCGTGGTCAATTGTGGCTGCTTACCACTTTACTATGTACGTGCTTGCACATGTTCCGATCGCCAAGTTTAGCACTCCGTAACGGCTCAACAATTCTTTATCCATTAGCCTCCTCCCTGATGGTCTTTGCTCCTCAATTTCCACGCATAACATAGCCTAGACCTTCCAGCAATGGCTTAACGTCGCTCACTGTCGGAACATTCTACCCCTGGATCCAGACTTGGTCTCGCACAGCATCCTTACAAGGCTTTTTAGCCGCATGAAATGATCGACGGTGCTCATTGACATGGTCGGCAGACGTATATCATCCCGGGAGTTCCACAGCCAGCTTGCTTTTTCGCTAATCGAGGGGGGTTCAATTGTCTTTTTTTACTTCTTGACGCTGCACGATATATACCAGAATGCGGTCGAGGCAGCCTGATCTTTGGGCCGCCGAGTACATTACCTTTGCAGCTGCGACTATCTTTCTTATCCTCCGCATTGTCAGCCGGAGAATCACGAGGATCCGGTTCTGGTGGGATGATTACTTTGCCTGTGCGAGTTATGTATGTTGATTGGCACACGACTACTTGGGATTATCGCTAACAACATCAAGGCCACCGCGGTTTGCTGGGGCACAGTCTTACCTATCTGTACGATTCCTCTTCGACATCGACAACGACGATCGCTGACTTCTCATAAGGGATTCACCATGGCTTCGGATTGCACGCGAAGGATGTAGAGGGCATGACCTTTACGGAAGCCAACTACACAACCAAGAAATACCTTTTTATAATGGAACACTTCTACGCCTTCACCCTCTTCTTCGCAAAGATCTCCATCCTATCCTTCTACTGGCGCATGTTCCGCGTCGCAAACATCCAGATCTTTGTCTCGGTCTTGTTGGTCTGCTCCATTCTTTGGATTCTTGTTCGCGTAAGCAACCTCAAGAGATCGCAAGGCCTCAGCTCACATTAGCCCAGACATTCCTGACGACATTTCACTGTTACCCTGTGCGAGCATTCTGGGATCCTACGATGGAACACTATACCTGCGCTATCAAGAGCAGTGATTTTTTCTTTGGTACTGTGCTTGCGCACGTTATAATAGACGTCGGCATCTTGATCCTACCCATCGTTCAGATCCAGAAGCTTCAGCTCCCGACCCTGCAGAAGATTGCGATCATTTTTATGTTCATGTTCGGTATTCTGTAGGTTCTCTCCAGTCATCCTCAGAAATGACCTCGTGCTAATACATCTTCCAGGGTTTGCGTAGCTGGTCTTGTCATTGTCAGTGTGTCAGCATCATTCGACAACAAGTCGGTCGACATGACATGGCAATTGGCTCCCGTCATCATTTGGGCATCGGTTGAGGTCAACTTAGTGACAGTATCCAGTCAGTATTACCTTCGAGTCTCATGCCTGCCTCACACTAATCCTTGACAGCCTGTCTTCCCATCATCCGACCAGCCTGCCTCTATCTCTTCACATGCACGAATCCCGTATCATCGATCAGATCCGGATCAAACAACTTCGGCAGCAACTATGGTCGAAGTCAAACAAAGCACTCAATTCGTCTCGGAACTATAGGGAAGGACGAGTCAAGCTCTACACATGAGCTCGCCAGAAGCGAGCCAAGCGGGAGCGAATCCTTCAATTCGGAGTTCGAGCACGAAGATCAGCGACATGGAAATATTGCTACTGTGACTGGTCCCGGGAGTTCGGCTAATCTGGCCCATCCAGCCGATGTTGGTGGTATCATGGTAAAAAACGAAACTGTGGTGCATGTGTCAAGGGCTAGGTCATCAAGATGAACATACTCGGAACGGATTGGGCGGCTTAAGCGTTTGGGCAATACACGAAAAAAGGCGTTACGGTGTTTATGTATATCTTGAACTAATTTCATACATCATTAATGCCCATGAGGCCGCTGCAGCGCCGTTGGGTACTCTATAGCATTTCCCATCGCTCATAAGTGCACCTTGGCTTGGGAGTTACCTACGCCTCGCAGGTCATAATATTCATCTTAATGGCAGGCGATACTACCGATCTGTCGGAAGCAATGCTTCACGGGTGAACGGTGAACGGTGAACGGTGAACGGTGTCACTGAGACACATTTCTGACTGCGCTGCCTTAGGTTATGTAACATAGTCTGCAACTGAAGGCCGACTGTCAATCCGTCCGACTGGATGGAGAGTGAATGCGATATACAGAGCCACCAGGCCTTGCTGTCAAAGCATATTTTGTTACCTCTATAGCCAGCCAATCAGTCAAGTTGGGTCAGAACACTTTTGTGCAGATGGATATCAGTGACCCAAGTCGTGGGCCATGGCGAGTTGGGAATGGACAACGTGAGAACAATAAGGTCTTGGACAGATAGCCAGTATTAGTCAAATAGAAGTTAGGTGACAAAGATCAATCAACTTGTTTAAGAAGGCTATCGTGGAAACACCGAAGAGCGAAGAGCGAAGAGACTGTTCAGCAACCAAAGGCAAGGATGTCAAAGGCAAACAGTCACAAGAGTCAGAAGGCGAAAGGATCTGGATGAATAAAAAGAAACTTTTCGAAGTCATATGAATTACGTTCTATCTGTTGAAAGCCAAAGAGCTTTCGGTATTAAGCTATTTACATGACAAAGGCAAGGGCCATAGGGAGTGCGAGGAGCATAGATCCAGCACTGACGAGAGAAGCTCCAGCAACAACGGGAACTTGGTCAGTTGGGGAGGGCTTGCCTCCGGGGATGGTTCCGTTTGAGGGAACGTTGTAGGTAGGCTGGGCACCAGGGCCAGTGTTACCAGGGGCTTGAGGGTTGGCAGGCTGCTCAGAGCCCTCAGTGGGTGAGGCACCAGAGTCGGTGGCAGTGGCCGGGACTCGGGTGAGGGTGGTGAACGCACCGGGTTGCTGGGTACCAGTCTGCTGAGGAGCCTGGCCAGTGTGTCCCTGGATGATGGTGACAGTGGGGGCAGCAGGGACGTGGACAGTGGTAGGAGCAACGAAGGTGCTGGTGACGAACTTGGTGCAAGGAACGATGGTGGTGACGTCCTGGGTGATGGTGACAAGGTCGATGGTGGTCTTGGCAGCATCAGGAGGAGAGGTAGGAGCGGGAGCAGAGCCGTTGTTACCGTTGTCAGAACCCTCACCAGGCTTGGAGTCTCCGCCTTGGTTGGAACCGTTGCCGCCCTCGACGGGAGTCTCAGGGACAGCAGTTGCAGTGGCGGGGCAGACGGTGGTGCGCTCGATGACAGTCTGGGTGACGATCTTCTGAGTGTAAGAAGCAGGGCAATTGATGACGGAGGCAGCACAAGATGTGATGGTGTAGACGTGAGTCTCGCGGATGGTGCTAGTGATCATGCCAGAAGCATCGGGAGCGGCAGTGACAGCAGGGGCAGAGGTCTCCTCAGCATCAGATCCAGAGCCAGTGGTGACAGCAGGCTTGTCGGAGTCGGCAGATCCAGTGCTGGCAGGGAGGCTGCCAGACTCAGCGGGAACGTTACCAGCAGAAGTAGCATCAGTGTTGCCACCAGTGGGAGCAGAGGGAAGGTTGTAGTCAGAACCACCAGTAGCAGAAGGGGAGTTGCCAAGAACGACGGTAGTGTAGCCCTCGGAACCGGAAACGACAGTGGTGAAACCCTCAGAGCCAGAGACGACAGTGGTGAAGCCAGCAGATCCGGAGACAACGGTAGTAAAGTCGCCCTCAGAGCCGGAGAGAACAGTGGTGTAACCCTCTGAGCCAGACACAACGGTAGTGAAACCAGTAGAGCCAGAGATGTAAGTAGTGAAGCCCTCGGAACCAGAGACAGTGACAGTGGCACCAGCGGTGTGAGTACCGAAGATGGCAGTGACATCGCCGCCAGCAGGGATGGTGTGAGTGGGAACACCCTCAGGGCCAGTGGGGATGGCACCAGAGACAGTGAGATCGCCAGAAGCAGAGCCAGCAGGAACCTCAACGGAATCAGTAGCAACAGGGAGTTCGACAGAACCAGTCACATCACCAGAGGCAGTAACAGCGGGAGCCTCATATGAGGCAGAGTCGGAGGGGATCTCAGCACCGGTGGTAGCGACGGGGAGAGAGTCAGAGCCAGTGAGGTCACCGGAAGCACCAGGGATATCGACAGAGGCAGAAACGTCAGGGACACCGATAGAGCCAGAGAACTCAACAGAGTGGGTAACGCCAGCGGGAATGGTGATGTCGGCAGAAGCGCCACCAGTAGCAGTGATAGCGCCGGAAGCAGAGATGGTAGGACCGCCAATGAAGCCACCCTTCTTGAAGTGGCCGATGAAGCTGCCGCAAGTACCGCGGGTCTCCTGGGAGAAGGTGGACTTGATACCCTTGGCGAGGCCGACGGAAAGGTTGGGGATGAGACCGAAGAGACCGCCGCTGAAGTCGAACTTCTTGTCGATAGCGAGACCAAGGTTGCAGCCAAACTCACCAGTGACATCAATACCAGCGCTGGCACCGGCACCGCCTCCAATGGTGGCAGTGTAGTCGAAGAGAGAGAACCAGACACCAGCACCGAAGCCGACATCAGCACCAGCCTTGCCGCCGAGACCGAGAACGGGGATCTCGAGACCGCCGCCAATGCTGAGCTCAGAACGAAGACGGAGACCAAGCTGAAGATCGATACCAGCACCAAGCTCGACATCGGCACCAACGCCAACGGGAAGAGCCTTGGTAACGAGACCCTCAAGAGAAGCGTGGATAACCTCCTTGGTGAGCAGGGAGATATCGACGTAGGCAGACTCGGGGAACTTGACGTAGACACCAGCAGAAAGATCGATAGCCTTTCCACAGCCGACAACAAGATCGATAGCGATGGCAGCCTCAATGGCAGCCTTCAGCTCAGCGTCAAGACCGGGGATAGCAATACCAAGCTTGGGGGCAGTGAAGAGTTCGACAGACTGGTGGACGGCAGCGGAAGCAGAGAGATCGATCTCGATGTAGGCAGAGATGCCACCGAGACCAACACGAACGTTAGGAGTAGTGAGGAAGTCAGCACCACAAGCGAAGCCAATGTCGCCAGTGATCTGGCAGCTGGGGAGGTTCAGGCCCAGGTTGACAGCGGGGGTAGTCGAAGTCTCGGGAGCACAGATGCCCTGGAAGAGGATGTGATCCTTCCAGGCGTTGCCGATGCTGCAGGAGGTACCAGTGTGCCAGTCAGTACCACCGCCGGCGTTCCACTCGATGCCACCACCGAGAAGACCGCCGAGACCGATGCCAGCACCAATGCCAGCGCCAGCTCCGATCTTACCTCCAACACCGCCTCCAATCTTACCGCCAGCGCCACCCTTGATATCGCCCTCAAGGTGACCACCGGCACCAGCTCCAGCACCAGCACCTCCTCCGATCTTACCGCCAACCTCACCACCGATTTCACCGCCAACCTTGCCGTCAGCACCAGCGCCAATCTTTCCACCGGCTCCAGCACCAGCACCGCCTTCAGCACCACCTCCTAGGTGACCTTCAACGCCGCCGCCAATGCTGCCACCGATCTTGCCGCCAGCACTTCCGCCAGCACCAGCACCAGCTCCTGCACCGGCACCAGCGCCAGCACCTCCACCAATCTTGCCGCCGATTTCACCACCGACCTTGCCACCGGCACCAGCTCCAGCTCCAGCTCCGGCCTCGCCTCCAGCTTCACCTCCAATGTGACCGGAAGCTCCACCGCTAAGGCTACCGCCGAGGTGACCACCAGCACCGGCTCCTGCACCTGCACCTGCACCTGCACTTCCACCGGCTCCGACTCCGAGATGGGCATCAGCACCACCTGAGATCTCGCCGCCAGCAGAGCCTGATGCTCCGCCACCGAGGAAAGTAGGAGTTGCTTCGCCCAGCGAAGCAAGAGCTCCCAAGGCAGGGATGAGTCCAGCAGAGAAACGCATGGCGTTAAACGAGTGTTGGAATGATGATAATAAAAAATAAAGATTTGTAGTAGTAGTTGTAGTTGTTTGAGCTTGTGAAGCGAGAGTGGTTGATAATAGTAGCGAGTGACTAAGAGAAACTCAGAAACGAAAGTAATAAGGAAATAAAAAAGAAAAGAGAGATAATAGGAAAAAAGCAGATAGAACGACTGTTGATGCTGGAAAAGAAACAAGACATTGAAGCCGGCGATGAGCTTCCTTTTAAGCTGAGTTGAGCTCTCGCGACGAGAGTCATGAGTGACAGGAACTTGAGCACTGATGCTGGCCAGCACGACAGAACTCGCTCGGTCAACTCGGGTCCAGGGGTTTGAGCCATGACCTAGTGTCAATCCGATCGCCGCTCAGACGTTTCATGAGGTTCTACCGTAGGTTGGTGGTGACGGTGAAGGGCTTTGACGTTTGTTTGTTTCTTCCAAATTTAGCCGGCAGGGGTTCGAGTCAGTTGAGATGGATGTGAGCAAAGACACTACTGCAGTGTTGAAATTGTATGCATGATAACGAGATTGCATATCACATGTCGTTTGTCTGGTCTCAGTGAACATTAGGCTGACAGATCGGCTAGATGTTTGCCGTGTTCTTCGGCTATTGCTCGTCTCGATCTGTTATGAACATCATTGACCAGCATCGTCAGCTAACGGATAAGGCAAAAAACGGCCGAGAATCACGACCAGGATACAGGGTCGTCTACCGTAGTGGGAAAGGCGCTGTGCCAAAGCGTAGAGTCAAGGCGCAAATCCGCGATTCTCTGGGAATAGTTAGTTTCAGTTTTTGTTCCAGAAAGATTCGTTTCAGGTGATTTCTTCTGTCAATAGTGAGTTCACCTGGTCGAGGACCCCATCCGCAATCTTAAATGCATTTAGCTGAGAACGCCACCACCTGAACAAAAGACCAATGCCGGATCGACGAAAAGTGGACTCTCCCCGGTCGATCCGTCTCGCTTTGATTGCTGCCTCGGCAACATTTCCCACAAGAGGTTGAAACAGAAATCAGTGGGTAGCTTCTAGTGCGCAATGGGCATCAAACGGCCCGCAGCCACAGAACAGCTCTGGAGCTGTCAGGCAGAGCTGCTGAGCGATCACATCATGGCAGGGATGGCATTTGCGTTTTCACCTGAGATGGTAAAACAAACTATGGATGATGGTGACGAGAATAGAAAGTTTGGCGAAAGGGATGCCCGATTGGTCTCGTTGGTTTCTCAATCGAGAAGAGGATCAAGGATGCCACTCTGTCAAGATCCAATGCTACCCTACAGTCATGCATTTCTGCTCAATTGTTGATGGCAATGGCATTGCAACGGAAGAAGAACGGCATTGTATGTTATGCTATGTTTCTAATGTTATATGTCACTGAGGTTCAGATGAAAAGTATACTCTATTATTCCATCTCTAATTCTATTGCGTAGCTGATTCATTGTAGGGCTAATAATGCCTACGTTGGTAGTTGGGTGCATCCCCAAAAGCCATGACAATGGGACCATGATCCGCCATTGCCGACAAGCGAAGACAGCGATTCATTCATGATCTGATATCAAATTTCCAGTGGGCACGGCACGAAGCTCACCCTTGAAGCGAGCTCATCATTTAACGTATCCGTATACGACCCTATGACATTCAGCCTTAGAGGGTGACTCTTCGCAACTGGGTACCTGAAAAGGGATGGAGGATTCTTAGAGACGATCGGAGAATTTCTCACGGCTGTGGCGGGGGTTTCGTTTCGGATTTCGGTCAGCTCTGCCCCTGAGCTGAACATGTCTTATCTTATCTCAATTGCCAAGGCCGAGGAAAAGGAACAGGAAAATGTTTGATGCAGAGCTCGAGCCCATGACCTTGGCGTTGTCTACTGGGGCCACGAAAAAGTCAATACGTGAGGCTAGGAAGATGGCTTCAGTTATCTACAGACTGCTTTGAGCTTCACGTTCCTTCGATGGCTGCTGCAGAGAGGATCTGACAGCCATCAATCAACCTTCATCGCAACATGATAAACTTTTAAAATAACTTGTGCATAGACACACTTATCGACGGCATCAATGCGCAATGCGAAATGCAAATGCCGATCTTGTACAAGGTACGATGCGGCTGTGCAAATGTTTAGAGTGTTTGAGGTTGATCAAGTTCCCTACACCAATGAGCCAAAAATATCACTTAGACAGCGACAATTGCTTTCTTTTTTCTCCATTTATACATTCATGTCAGATGATGTTTCTATGCCGGTCATGCGTTTGCTCACAAACCTTGCAGAGATGCTTCCTACCTGATGGCAATGTTGCTGTGAAGTGAGATAAGACAAGGCCATGGCGGAATAAACGCCGCTTCATGGATGGCCACACTAATTACGGATGAATTTACTCCGTTGGTTTGGACGTTAGCGATGTCTGCGGTCGGTGCTGTCCGTGATAGCGGCAACCTCCGACGCCGATTGATTCACTTGTCCATCCGATAACCGGACGGGCAAAAGTGGCTGACCAACGATAAGTGCCCGCCAATTAACCGAGACACCATTGAGTGATTAAGCCACCAGTGATTCACCATTATTTTGTCGCCAGCACTACTTGACCTTCTGAGACTGGTCCGATCTGTCAGCCGTATTCCCGCAGATCGGTTGTCGACCTGCCCGCCATCCGACCATCGATTAAGCAATCGTCCAGCCATCTCTGTAGTCTGCACAATGAATGAATTGAGTTTGGATGCTCGGTAGCCTTTATAGGCAAGTACAAAAAAAAGAAGGCCAATTCCGCATTCCCAATTGAATACCGTTGACCGTTGGCGGATAAATCGGCATTGACCTACCAGGGTCAATCAATCTCTCCCCTCAATCTCGATCAACTCCCATCAACAATACAACACGACTCGCCCTCTCAATTCGAATGGTAAAACCTCACAAGATTATAGGAAGTGCAAAATGTTCATGCTACAAAGCCTTTCCAACGGCATTGGCCGACATCTGCAACATCTCCCTTCCCTAAAGGTCCCTTTGTCGCCGATCAACACCCAGCAATGGGCCACCTCGTTTCCTCATTGGCTGCGACAAAAGGTCCTGGTAATAATCTGGCATACAATGCACGTGGGGTTCTTTGACGATACAGATCGCTGCTTATCAGCGTTACCACCTTGTCTGCTCCGTACACAACTGCTTCATCTGTCGACTTTGTCCGACACTAGAGAGGATAAACATTTCACTTGCCTCCCACGTGTATTTCGTAGTCGAATATAAGTATCGCTTGTACTTCTCGTAAACACTATTCGCTTTTGTCGGTCAATCTTAATTATAAGCTTCAAAATGACGTTCATCAAGGCTCTCATTCCTCTTGCGCTTTACCTTGCTGGAGCGCAGGCTAAGTCTTGCTCTGCTGGTGGTAAGCCCACCGCTGAGTTTTGCTCAAAGGACCTTCCTCTGTCATGTCACAACACTACCGCCGTTCAAGACACTTGCTGCTTCATTCCCGCTGGCCAGCTTCTTCAGACTCAATTCTGGGATAGTGACCCTGTAGCTGGGCCTCACGGTAGGAAAAGTCTGCACGAAACACAGTCCCTTAAACTAACCCCTTCTAGACTCATGGACTATTCACGGTCTCTGGCCCGACTACTGCGACGGCACATATCCCCAGTTCTGTGACAAGTCCCGCGAGTACACCAACATCAAGGACCTCGTAACCAAGTTCCTCGGCAAAAAGACCGTGTCCTACATGGATAAGTACTGGGTCAGCCAAGACGGCAATGACGAATCTCTCTGGGAGCACGAGTTCAGCAAGCACGGCACATGCATCAGCACCCTCGAGCCAAGCTGCTACACCAACTATGAGACCGGCGCCGAAGCCGCCGATTACGTCAAGAAGACCATCTCCCTGTTCAAGACTCTTCCTACGTACAAGTGGCTCGCTGAGGCTGGTATCAAGCCTTCCACGACAAAGACTTACACTGCCGATGAGATTGTGGATGCTTTGGCGGAACACCATGGCGCTCGTGTCACCATCGGATGCTCTAATGGCTCATTGAGCGAGGTTTGGTACCATTTCAATGTTAAGGGCTCGCTGCAGGATGGCCAGTTTGTGTCTACTGAGCCTGATGGAAGCAAGAGCTCTTGCCCAGACGCCGGTATCAAGTATGCCCCTAAGAAGTAAGCAATAAGCATATCTATGGGGCCTCTAAAATGAATTGATTATGTATTCTGGATAGGCTACAATGGCAATGTAAATAAATCTATATTATTATTAGGGCCGTGTGACCGTTGACTCATCCTATCTAAACGTTGCCTCGTAATACTTTCGTATCTTGTCACATTCCTCCATCAACTCTCGGCCACAATTAGCTTTGATGGCCTCCTCCCATATGGCCTTTTCAAGGTCGTATCCAGCGACATCTTTGATCTTGTCCACATCGTCTCCCCAGAGTCGCGATAGAGTTCCGTCAGGACGCTCAGGTACTAGATCTTCCAGTGTCTGACTTGGGTGCCTAATATCGAATTTGACTCTGTTGAGATGAGCAAACATTGTACTCGTAATGTTGACTTCCTCCTCGGCTATCCTCAGCTTTCCTTTCCTTGTTGATACTGTTGTTTGGTTTCGCCCTTTCTGTGTTTGTAGCTTCCAGTCTTGCTCAGGATCAGCCTGCCAGATCCCGCTTCCCCAGTTGATTTCGTTAGCGGTGATCATCGTAGCTGGCTTTGTGACCTGCCAGTAAGGGTTGCCTAGGACCAGCGCGCTCTGCATGAAAGTCTCCTTGTCGCCTGATCCCCAAGCACCCTGCGAATGAAGTTGATAGTAGAACTGTGGCCCGTAAAAGTTGTAGTATGCTGCGAGCAGGAGACTGTCCGCGTGTCTTGCTTTGTTGTACAGCATAACTCCTGACTCTGAACTTCTGGAGTCGATAGTAACATTGGGCGCCTTGGATCCGGCGATCTGGTAGAAGAGAGGCGATATTGTTGGCAGCCAAAAGTCGGGCCAGGTCACAAGCCCATGACTCTTGTACGGTTCCACGGCGAGAAGGTGGTCTGGATTTCGAATAGGGAAGGCGTCGGAATCAAGGAACAAGATATCTTGGAAGCTGGAGAAGATAATCGACAACGGCTTGTACTGATACTTTTCAATCGTGGGTTGCTTAATGGATGTTGTATCAGGCAACTTCAAGAAATCGTCCATATTCAAGCATTGCACCTGCAGACTGGAAAGTGTATTGTTGCACTGTTCGTGCTCAGCTTCACTTGCCGAGTCGAGAAAAAGCTGGACGGGTAAACGCGACCCAACATGTCGTAGCATCCGTACGGCCGTCGCTGCTACTCCAACTGCTGAGCCTTTGGCAGTGATGACAATACCCTTGGTGTTGCGTTTGAACGGTACGTTCGGAGCCAAGTGTCGAAGGCTTTGCACAAACTTTGCATGATTCTCTTTCAATGATTCGACTTCCTCATCAGATACCTCCAACCAGTCCGTGTGTATCTGCGCCTTTGAGCCATGAGGATCAAACTTGTCGCGCGATAGAGAATTAGGGGGTTTGATCTTATCACCATGAGGTTCCGCTGCGTAGAATTCCGTGACAAGGTTCTCCCAGAATTTTGTCGTCTGCTCAGTCGGTCCAGTAAATTGAGGCGCGGCTGTAGAGATAGGGTTTGGATTTGGCGAGGTTAAAGAGTCGGATTGAGTTTGGTTAGTTTGTGTGAGGCTTGGTGACGAGACTCTCTTGTAGGCGACAGAAAGATCTGCCCAGAATTCCCAAAGTGTGAGGGCGCAGATGAAACAGATGAAAACGCCAAGAATTTTGACGAGACGATGGCGCGCGGTTACGACGCTGACCCATTTCCCGCTTTTGGAGGCGTCATCACGCCAAGACCGGAGCATCGCGATGATAGTTGAGGAATTGACTTTGGTTTTGGCTTTGGTGTTGATTGTTGTGATATCAATTGACTTCTGGCTGTATCAGTGGAAAAAGCGAGTGAATGCAGGCTCGAGACCAGCGCGATATCGTTGTTTGCTGTGAATTAACGAGTATCGTCAAAATTGGAGCGTGTCGAGTTTTCTGGGAGCGTTGAACAGTTGTCGTTGCGCATGGTCAATTCGTGTCAAAAACCCCCCTTTCCTTGCGTCGGATGATGTTTGAGAATGGTCCGGGAGTAGGTTCGTAAGTTTTGAGACGTCTTTTGAGGGTTTTGTCGCAAACTCTGTAGGAGATCAACCGGTCATAGAGCAACAGCTCAAGAGAATCATGTGATCTGAATCATGGTAGTTACATCAAACAAAAACAGGAGAGAAACAATGAAGAGAAGAATGCAGATGAGAGACGTGAAACACTGCTGACAGTCAGACCAGATCAAAATAAAATGAAAGGAGCTGTTGGCTGTGCAGAGATCATCAGCTTTCACGTGATTGTAGAGCATTACGCAATGCCGCCGCGTTTCCCGATACCGTGCCACAATCCGATGTCTCGCAATAACAGGCGATTGGGCTTATACACTTCTTAGTGTCACATTCTATTTATATGCATGTAGTATAATTGATTGTTGCTATAGATCTATTGTTCATAGTTAAAGCTGTATTATGTATATAGTTGACCGCCGCCTCCAAGGTTAAGCTTTAATTATCCTCTTGCTCTCTAATCGAGAGAGATCTCAGTCTGACGTCATGATGTAACCCGCTCGTAAACACAAAACCCCGCACTCAATTAACTTTTCAGACAATTGGGGTCGTCTCCTCATCGATATTGATCCCAAAACCCTGCGAAGCCATGGAGTAACTCTGATGAACAGCTTCACTGGCATAGACCCTCATCTCCTTCTCATAAGCAGCTGTGACACCCGCACTGTACCCGCCAGCTTCACGCAGCAATCGTCCAAGCAGCGCTGAATCACGAACAGCCGTGTTAGCACCAATCCCGCCCGCAGGTGTCATCGAGTGAGCTGCATCGCCAATGACCGTCACGCGAGGCTCATTCTTCCACTCAGGGACACCTGAAGGCGTCGAGCAGGTGATTTTCCAGAACGCAGCTTCACCCTCATCCATGTTGTCGATTAGAGACTTGAACTTTGGGTCCCAGTCTTTAGCAATTGACTTTGCGATGTCAGCGGCGACTTTTCCGACAATCGCGTAGTTGTCGTTCGGCGCGCGAATGACACCTGGAGCTCCGCCCATGGTCCAGCCAAAGCTCACATCTGGGTTGTTCATATCTCCCGAGCGAACATTTGTCATGAGAAAGGCGTGGCCGTCGGGCCGTGTATCGTCGCGGAGTCGGAAGACTCCCTCCCCGAGCTGCTTGAACGCTGTTGTTGGTGCTTGGCCGTGAATACCCCTCGCGCCAGTGTCGTAGACTCTCAACTTCCCGCCTGAGACTTGTCTCGCAACTTTTGAGTAGATGCCTTCACCGCCGACGAGCATAGATCCTTCGATGGACTTTGTTCCGTCGGAGAAGATGGCGCGAACACCATCGTCGGTTAATTCGTAGCCTGTAACATTCTTGGACCACTCAATATTGTCTTCGCAACCCTCTGCGAAAATTCTTCTCATGTCACCTCTAGCAATGCCAACGATCTTCCCGTCTCGCGATGAGAGCTTCTCCTCAACGACATGCTCAGTCTGTTGGCCAGTGACTGCATCGAATGCACGATATCCACCACCGCCCGTCTTGCCGCAGGCATCCCAAAAATGCTGCCATGTCTTCTTATGGAGAACAGATTCAATAGCGTCTAGACCCTCCACGGAAAGACGGAGCCTGTACCCTTGGGCGCGAAAGATGAAAGATTCATCGCGCTCAAAAATCTTGAAAGGGATCTTGGACTGCTTGAGAGATTGCGCCAGTAGCAATGAAGCGAGGCCGGAGCCTGAAATGAGGATGGGTTTCGTGACTGACATGTTGTGCTATTAATGAATTGATGTTCACAGTGGCCAGGCTACGATGGAATGCAAAGTCTAGATAAATACCTGCCAGCGTTCTTGGCTGGCGTCTGTGGCACATCTGGGGCTGACAAACTACCATTTACATCGTGGAGTCTACCGCGCGCTATGGTGCAATTCTGAGACCCGAGATAAGGTTGAAGGCCTCAACAAGACGGCAGCTGGACTTCGGAACATTCGCGGTGTCCGGAACTTCCGACTGTGGGCCTTGTGAAACCTTGGACATTTGTAAGCTGACAGATTCACTGTTGTTCCCGTAAATAATCATCAGTCAGCCTGAATCATCGGTCAATCTCTTATTGCAAAATACAATTTGTGCATCCATTCAATTGGTGATTTGTCTGAAATGCTATTGAAGGTGCTTATTGACTGCACTGTTTAGAAATGAGCTGTGCAACCTTGTTAGTCTGGTGAATCACCTCCACCATCTCGTTCCCGCCAAGCACCGGGCTGATAGAGCAGATCCTCAGAACAACTCTCCCTCGTAGCTTTGTAGTCAAAATTAATCCAACATTGTTTTTAACCAAATTCTTTGAGATCGCGGCGTTTAGTTCATCCAACTCCTCCTCAGTCTTTCCCGCAGGTGCATATCGGAATGTCACTATCGCCATACTCGCTCGACTTGTGAGTTGCCAATCTGACAACTTTAAAATCTCGGCCTCAGCAATTTCTGCCAGACGGAACCCGTGATCAATCATCTTCCCAAATCTGTCCACGCCGAGGACTCGTAGGGTGAACCATAATTTCAGCGCTCGTGAGGGACGTGTTAATTCCATGCCAAGGTTCCAAAAGTTGGGCATCTCTTCGTCATCGAGAGCATCGCGAAGATAGTCGCCGTTGTTATTGAATACTTTGGCCAAGTTGATCTTGTTTCTTACAAGGATGAGACTGCAGCTGTATGTTTGGAACAGCCATTTGTGTGCATCCCAGGAGATACTGTCTGCCAATCCAAGACCGTTGGTGACAGAGCTTCGAGTTGCAGCTAGGGAAGCTGACGCACCGTATGCACCATCAACATGCAGCCAGATCTCCTCCTCGTCGCGTACCTGGGCGAGCACCTCCAATGGATCGATGCTTCCAGTATTAGTTGTCCCGCATGTCGCCACTATTACAAAAGGCTTCAGACCAGCCTCGCGGTCCGCTTTGATGGCATCTTTCAAGGCACTTACGTCCATTTGAAAGCATTCATTAGTTGGAACAACTCGAATTTGACTCCTCCTGATACCAATGATGCGGAGGGCTTTCTTGACAGAATGGTGTGTCTGATCAGAGAGATATGCGACGCCCAAGTGTTCAGTATCGGGCTCCAATATACATTCCCTTGCAAGTACCATGCCGCTCATGTTTGCCATAGAGCCCCCTGAGACAAAGATACCTCCAGACGTATCTGGAAGTCCAACTTTGGCTGACAGCCATTGCAGCAGCGTTTGCTCAACAATAGCTACACCAGAGCCCTGCAGTCTCGATCCGGCGAAAGAGTTGAAAGCGCTAGACAGACAATCACCTATCCAAGAAAGTGGCGAGGTAGGTGCTGGAACAAAGCAGAAACACTTGGGATGGTTCATTCGCATTCGATAGTCAGAGATGGTGAACACATCCTCAATGGCTGCCTCCACGGAGTGAGCATCGCCAGGAGTGCTGATTGCTTTGAGTTGAGAGACCTCAGTTCCTCCGGCTACTCGTAAGAGAGGGTCTTCGCTGACCTTCTGGGTAGCCTGGAAGATCCGATCGAAGGCGGCTTGGAAGGTAGAGCTTAGGGAGTCTAGCTCTGTACCTTGGTCTGGGGGGCCAAAAGAGTTCATTGTAGTCTACAAAGTTCGTGTATAGTGGCAAGTAGTTTGAGTTTAGGGAATCGCGCCTTTATAGGTTCGATGCGGCTTGGAGCGGCTTGCGGGTATTACGTGAAGACACTGAAGGGCGCGAAATCTGACCGAGTCGAGATAGCTTCCCCGCCTTTTGTTGTTGGCGCCACAGCGAAGCATCGATTTCCAAGTCCTTCGATATACATCGTGCTTTGTTTCAGAAGACTCTCTTGTCCTATTGCGACCTGTCCTTTATGTACGGTGGTAAGTCGCAATGCCAATAGAGCACCATCTATTCCTGCCTGTCCAGTGTTGCGATGAATCTGACTGTCAAGCTCTCATGCCACTGGCGAGCCAATCATGCATACTGGATTTCGCCAACGCTACGCCAAGACACACATACTTCTCTCTCACCGGCTAGTGATCGGACTTCAAAAGTGCGCCCTACACAATGGAAAGACTATAGCCGAGGCGATTTGGATTGTAAGCTTCATCTACTAAGCACTAACATCAGACGAACCCTCTGCCGCTACTTTGATAACCATCTCGTTAAACAGATTCCACCACTCAATATCTGGAACGGAGCGAACTCGCGGGTCAGGCATCACCAGAATTATGTTTAGCTTCCCTGCAAATGTCCAAGCCCATGTTTGAGCTGAGTATGGATCAGTTAGTTTCGCTGTAGAACAAGAACGACGTGGAGGAAAGCAAGAATATTGCACTTACGCCCAAACAAGTTGCTAACCCGTGAATAAAACGAAAAGTCGTCAATATTCAGTGCAGGCCTGTCATTTGGATCTAGAGATCCGTATGACCCTGGGAGATGATGTCCATCCAAAAGACCTGCTGATGACAGAGGAGTAAACATGCCAGGCGGTCTATGGATATTGTTAGAAGAAGAAATGATTAGCTAGGAGCTTTATGGTGATATAATGCCAAGGAGGCTTACGAAGGCAGCAGACCGGCTTCCATCGCTTCCATGGCGTGCGCAACACCACCAAAGGCAGCTGGGCCCTGAGTCCAATCCACATGTTCACTCAGATTACTCTTGACCGCCTCATCAGTTGCTGGACCAACATTTTGCGCAACTTCCCAAACAATCTTTCTCCAATTATCGTCCCCGATAGGAGCATCCTGGCTCTTGAGATATGGACTCACGTCAAAGGGAGACACAAGGAAAGTAGTTGCCATGACGGGCCCGATATAGGCTGCTTCTTGACAGATCTCGCTCAATCTAGTTTTCGAGGAAGCTGAGCCATCCTGATTACCACCAAAAGATGTCTGCCGCAGCCTGTTGCTCACACAGATAGGTGCCGCCGTGGTTCGGGACACATCTTCCGGAGGAAAGGTTTTGAGGAGTGCAAGCGCCTGCAAGGCCGTCAATAGTGCCGTCACAGTAAAGCCGTGCTCCTTGCAGATCTTGAAGACTTTGTGCGTCATCTGTTGCGACAAAATCTTCCTTCTCACCGAATACTCGGTGTCAGGTCGGTCTTTGGCTGGTTCTTGCGAGATAGGGCAGAGAGTGATGTTGCCGAGGTTGGCGCCAAGAAGCTGCGCTGCCTTTGCTTGAGACTCGGCATCTAACGGAGCGTCTCCAATAGGATCACGAAGAAAGTCCAGATAGCACGGGTGCAGAGAAGAGTGGGAGGCATCTTTGTATGAGAGTGATAGCACTTGGGTGGTACTCAGGCCGTCTGCAAGCTTGCTAAGAAGGTTGTTGAGAATAGCCGCGCCACTCCAGAAATCGTTCAATGCATGATTGTAGCGGATTGCAAGAGCAAAAGTACCTGCCTCAGAGGACGAAGAAACAAGCGATATGTGTATCAAATGGTCTCCAAGCTCAAGGCTGATGCGTTTCTCTGGAGTCGAGTAGAAGTCGTCCGTGATTAACTTCAAGCCCTCTTGAGCTGGCTTTTCGGTATGCAGAACGGTAGTCCTCTGCTTAATTCTCTCAGATAAGTCATTGTCTGATGTGAGAGGACGGTAGACGAAGTCCCGAGACTTTGCGACCGCCGACTCTTCATGGCCACGCTCAATGACTGCGAGGAGGGAAGGCTTCTCAAGGCAAACGCGCGATACTGCTCTGCTGAACCAAGTCTCAACGGGGGCTTTACTGTTCAGATGAGACGCGTAAGACGGAGCAATTGTGAAGATGACAGCGTCCATCCATTCAGTCCAACCGTCGATCTCGAGCCACTGATCGAACATGCGCTCGGGGCCGATGAGCGGCCGGCTCCAGAGGCCGTCGCTTCGTTGCTTCCATGGAGATACTTTGGGCATTATGCTGTTTTCTTTGAAGGCGCAGAAATGAGCAATGTGATGTTGGAGTCAACATCATCACCCCGCTAATTGCTGTTCCTTTCGCTGCGCCATGATCGTCGCTTACGTTGTCGAATTAGTGCTGAGAGGAGACTAAATTCTCACGACGTGCCTCAGTACCCCGCTGGAGAGTATCGTGCTATTTGCTGTTCCGTAGCAGTATGGAATCCTGGCGTTTCGTTGAGCGTGCTTTCCATCCATCATGAGCCACGAGTCCAACCGCGTTGCCATATCCTCACCTTGTAGATATAGCCAGACTGCTTCAGTTGGGACACATGCTAAATAGAGGATGTCACTGAACATCAATGAGCACAACAATGGGCGATAGCGAAGAGACCAATATTTCGGGATGTTGTAGAGAACACAATGTTATCTCAGGTACGATGTTAGAGGCCATGAAATATCGCTAGCTTCTCTTTGTAGGGTCCATCTTCGTCGGAAATGCCCCGGTCTTGCTTTTTCCGCTGGTTCGGTTCGGTAGTCGGAATGCGGGCTTTTCCGTATGGACCGAACGAACCTCGAATCTATCCTCAATACTCATGATATTGTTTCGCGCTCTTTATTTCGTATCAATTTCTGTCAAAGTCCAATAGTTGAAAATCATTTGTGAGACGTTCCCGAGTTCACAGTCTCTCGTTGGACCCCATCAATCTTCCCCGCAGTCTCGTCGCATCAGAGCTGGCTTCACATCTGTGCGACCGCGACTGGGAGATTACCTTATTGAGACCAACGTCGGCTGTACCCACGGAAAAGCCTAGCTATCCTGCATCATCAGTGTCCCTCATTCATGCCGATCAAAGGGCGCGATTCCGAATACAACCTTTGAAGAGGCAGAACAAGGATTCAGAAATGTCGACAAAGCGGGGTACATCGACAATAAAGAGTCGAGATGACTCTGGACAACAAGAAACGAGAAAAACACAGCAATCTTGGTTCCTAAATACTACCACTATGGCAATTGGAGTACTTGCTATTGGTGTATTGGTTCCCTATAGCCTTGGCCTCTTCGGTGAGGCTCAGGCAAAGCCTACTGCCATCGACCCTGCCAAGCTACCAGCTACGGCCCAGATAATCGACCAGAAGAGCTTCAATGTTTTGGAGCATGTCCCTCCACCGAAAGAAGCCAATGCTACAACTGTGAGTTAGCATAAGAATGCCTGTGACCTGTGCTGACACGGTGACAGAGGTTCCTCTGGCCGGGAGTTACCTATGAATCCCTGACTGAACGACCATTTCATGTTTACGATGCGGAGTTTCTCGATATAATTGGGAGCAACCCAACCTTGACTCTTCTCGCCACTTCGGAAAAAGATCCCATTTTCCATGAAGCTGTTGTATGGTTCGTAAACCCAACGGCCTGGCATTTCTCGTTAATCACTAACACGGAATTGCATAGGAACCCTTCAACTGAAGAAGTTTTCTTTGTGCAGAATGCAGGCGATCCGGATGCTGGAACAGGACTTGCAAAGTCATCTGTCATCCAAAAGATTTCTTTGGCCGAAGCTGAAGCTCTGAAGAATGGGTCGCACACGGAGAGCCAAGTCAAGATTACGGTCGTGGATTCTGATCCGCAAGTCATCAACCCCAATGGTAAGTATATTTCTTAGATGTTGGATAGTTGCCGCATGCTCATAAATCGCAGGCGGAACAAACTACAAGGGACAGATCATCTTCGCAGGCGAAGGGCAAGGCGAGAAGATACCATCGGCTTTGTATTTGATGAACCCCGAAGCGCCATATAATACAACAAGTAAGCTCCCTCAAATCTTTGCGCCGCAAAAACTACTGACTGGGTCATTATAGCACTTGTGAACAATTTCTTCGGCAGGCAGTTCAACTCCCTCAATGATGTCTCCGTCAACCCGCGCAACGGCGATATCTACTTCACAGATACCATGTATGGCTACTGGCAGTACTTCCGCCCCGAGCCTGGACTGCAAAACCAAGTCTATCGCCTCGACCCAGATACTGGAGCGTTGACTGTTGTTGCGGATGGTTTCGTCGCTCCAAATGGTGAGGCAACGGGAATTCCCACAACATTTATGTGAGTTGGTTGCTGACGGTTAGCGAATCACAGGACTCACTTTCTCGCCTGATGGACTCCACGCTTATGTTACAGACACTGGCATAAGTAATGCACTATTCGGGCATAACTACACTCGTCCCGCCTCTATGTAAGTCTTGACTCTAGCAGTAAGGGCCAGACCTCTGATAGTGATGACAGCTACCGATTCGATGTACAGGAAGATGGTACATGGGACGGCCGTAAGACGTTTGCTTTCACAGCAGCTCGTCTACCGGATGGTAAGCATAATTGGACATTTCTTACTGCTAGCAGGCCGTGCTCTAAAAGACGACAAGTATGCTGATCTTTATGACCAGGAATTCATTGTGATTCCAAAGGCAACGTGTATGCGGGCTGCGGCGATGGCGTGCATGTCTGGAATCGCTCTGGAAAGCTTATTGGAAAGATTTACACAGGAGTCAATGCAGCCAACTTTCAGTTCGCTGGCAAAGGACGCATGGTTATCATGGGGAGGACAAAACTGTTCTATGCGACTCTGACTGCTTCTGGAGCACCATTGAGTTGAGCTATGGACATAATCCGATACCTCGGTACGGGGTTTTGACCTCAGAGCAAGGCGTCAATTCTAGATCTATGACTGGTGGTTGGCTGTTTTCCGAAGCTTGCAAACATAATATCGCATGCGCAAAATAACAGGTTTCTGCGTGTTGAAGGAGTTGCATAGACATGGAATAGTAACTGAATTACCGGAACAAGCTAGGATGCTGTCAACATCAAGCTTTAAGCTTAGTGATCGATCGCCATGGGTTACATTGTGATCAGGACACAGGCTAACAGGGCGGCACAGCACTCGGCCCCGAGCATCCATCCAGGTATCTGCCGATCCCTCACAAGGCTGTGCAGCTGATGCCGATCAATCAGGGGGTTGCTGACCGAGGCATCTCCGCCTGGTACGACAAAAGAATCCTACGATGATCGTGGCCTTGATTGTGACGTCGGACAGTAAATCTGATTGCCGTCGGTATATGTTTATGCATGAATGTCAGCATCCTTCGTGTTTAGTCCAAATTGGAACGGGATGAAAAGGTCCCTTGCAGAGTGACATTCAATGCCTTTGATCAGCGAGGGAGTGGAGCTGAAACAGAACACGACTTGCCTATTTCGCTTATGGAGTTCACTTCTGACGTCAGATCAGTTTGTAAGGCCAAAGTGTTCGTACAGCAGGCCACTAACACCAGGTAGGTAGGTAGCTATGCGCAACAAAGAAGACAGACCACCCTCATCAGCATGTAAATAACAAGTCACCACTGACATGAGTTTTATAAAAAAAAAGTATTGAGATCGCATTATTCTTGTGTTATCAAGACTTGCTATACAATAATATCGTCAATCATTGGCTCTCGCAAAGAATCGCGCTGTAGCAGAACTGCCTCCAATCCAACGTAGCCTCACAAACGTCCCATCGACCCACGTGCCTGTCGATCAGTCTTGGCTTAAACCCGCCTCAGCATAGAAAATCCGACTCTGCAGCAGAGAATCGGCCATGATGTAATGGACTCTCCAACCCGTTTCAAGCAGGAAGTGCTGAAACAATCCTTCCAGCAGAGTATACCGTGGATAGACTGGAAGGATGCACCTGGACTGGCCTATCACGGCACACAGATCGTATCCGCTAGCACTGCCGGCAGATGATCTTGAGTGATATGCCCGAAAAGTGCATAACTTTCTGGCGACGTTGTTGCTTATGACGAGTAAGATCCTGACAAGATTATGATCAACAAGGATGCAACGTGCTTGCCCAAGATGTGCATTTGAGCTGAGCACCCATGGACGAGCCGCAATCAAGGTAGTGAGTCGTAAAACACTGATCTATGCAAGACGAGAACCTGTCCCCAAGAGCTTCAAACAGGTATAAATACCTTACCACCCACCCTCACTTCAACTCCATCTCATCTTCATCTCCCATCACAACATCAAACAAACAGCCACCATGCAGAACAAGCTCATCACCGCCGCCACCCTTCTGAGTGCCCTGGCCTCAGTCCAGGCATCTCCCGTTTCTGTTTCCAAGCGAGACGTTCTCACAGCCCTTCCTGGAGGCGCTTCTGATATTGAGAACAAGTTCCAGCCTGCTCTTGACTTCGACGGCGACGGCTGCTACCAGACCGCCGCCATCGATCCTAATGGTAACTTGAACCCTGGTCACGGTGCCACTGGTACTCCCCAGGGAGACTGTCGTGATCCTCCCCAGCTTGATAACAGCAACACCTATTCTCGCAAGCGCTGCAACAATGGCTTCTGTGCCATTATGTAAGTCTTTCTCCTCAACCTCAAACACGAGGGCTTCTTCATTTCTGTATACATGCTGACATTGGACCTCCAAGGTATGAGACCTACTATGAGAAAGACCAAGCGGTTGGTGGCAGCTTTCTCGGAGGCCATCGCCACGACTGGGAGAACATCGTTGTTTTCGCCCAAGGCGACAATGTCGTCCGTGTAGCTCCCTCCTGCCACGGCAAATACGACGGCGCAAGCAACCAATTCCCCAGTGACGGAAGCACCCCTCTTCTCGTTTATCACAAGGACGGTGCCGGAACTCACTGCTACCGTTTCGCCAACGACGATGATCGGGCCAACCCCGAGAACCCTACTGGTTCTTTCTTCAAGGCTCCTCTTGTTGGCTGGGATAACTGGCCTGATGTTGGTCTGCGAGACAAGATGCTGCAGAACTGGAGTGGTGGTGTTGGACCTAAGCTGGATGATGAGTTTGGCGATTCGCTCAAAGCGGCTGCTGGTGATGGTGTTCAGGGCTTCGATCCTTACAAGGACGAGTAAAGATGGGGAGGAATCTGGACATACTACTATCTATTACTATTGAACATGATTGACTTTGCTGAATACTTTATTGTAGAGCCTTTCCCTGAGTAGATTATCTCTTGTTCTGTTACCTTCTGGGTGTACTTAACCCTGTCTTGAACATTCAGAACTCTTCGACGTTCGCTTTAATGTCAAGAGATGAGCACAAGCAAAACTACCTGATCTCAACAACTCGCTGTAAGACCTCAACCATTTTCACATACGTAGGCTTACCCCTCTCTAATTCCTTAAATCTGTACAGCCCATCATGTCTCTCACACCCTTCCGGCATACGTTCATCAAAGTCATCTATAGCCTTCCAAAATCTCTGCACATCCTCAGGATGAGTGATGACGAAAGCTCCAACTCGTATGTACCACTGGTTCCCATTCTCACCCTGTCTTTCGTCCAGAACCAGGCAATGTACGGGGTTGTTGAAGTACGCCATGTTTGCAAAGACGGGAACCGCAATGGCCGAATTGCAGTTTAAAGCCTCTTGATCAAACTTCACATCCCAGTAGTTTTTACTTTGAATCTCGATCAATTCATCACCACGACCTCCCTCACTAGGCGCGGCTCCAAAGTCCACAAGTTTCATGCCGCTCACGGGCCCCGATTCGACGATAGGTAGGTAAGAACACCGCAGACGGAGAGATGATCCAGTGGAGGTGCAGTATCTCAAACCACGAGAAGGTATTGCTTCATTCAGAGGGAGAATACTTGTATCAATGACTTTGGTGAAGTAAATATCCACAGACCTCACTTCCTGTGGTTCGATTATGGCATCCTTGATCGAACACCAGGACCATGTTGGAGCAATGTAATCGTCGGAGCGTTTCCCAGGTGCCGAAGGAGTGTTTCCATCATATTCGAATAAATATTTGCGTGACATTGCTCGCCATACCAACTGCCTCTCAACATATGGTCGCCATAGACCAGCGAGGAAGAGCCCTGGCGATCTAGGGCAGGATGAATCTACCCGATCTTGTGTATCATATTTCTCACGGCCATCTTCGACTTGATCTACAGACTCCACCATATGTTGAAAGACGGGGTAGAGCACATCAATAAGGCCCGACAGCGCAACAAGCTTATCAGTCGCAACTGTGGGCTGTCCCTGGGAGTAGGCTCGAACTACTTGATTCCAGTTCCGAAAAACATCCTCAGGAGTCAGATAAGACAGATTTCCGTTTCGTGCGTTGAGAACAAACCGTTTCAGTGAAGTCAATACGGCAGTGTCATGCCTCATCGTCGGGTCACCGCAAGGCAGTCGTTCGCACACTGCGTCCGAGCAACACTGGAAAGCAACTTGTTCAAGCCCCAGATGCAGTACCCTTGGCGCTAAAACACGCTCCTGGAGAGCCCAAGCTCCTCGATTCAACTCTGAGTCTGAGATGCGTTCCCACCAGTTGTGATACTCGGATATGCAATAGTTACTGGGGAACCCATCGCCCCATTCACGATGTAGGTATACTGGGTACCATGGGCGGGCGGCTCGTTTGTCGGAAGGGCAGAATAGCCCGTGGCCAGCCGCATCTCCGTCAGCCGAGAGGTTGAGCCACGAGTTCCCATAGATGGAAGCCATACCACCGACCTCATTTTGCCAATCTACAGGGTCGTCTTGGACTACACAGAGTGCGCCAATCCAGAGATATTCATGACTCAGCCTTTTGGTGGTGATACATGCATCTGTGAAGACGCGGGAGAGTTTATCAACAGGAATTGACGATTTGAAGGCTTCAATGTTGCTGCGAGTAAGCTGAAGAGTGTTTACTGCACCTGGGCAATGGCTCAGGGTCAGGTACTCAACATCGTCGGATATATCCTGACCCTCGACAAGGCGGACTTGAAGCGCAGCCGTTGTATTACAGACGTATAGCAGTCGAGTTGGCTTCCAGGTGGATGTTTTCATAAGCTTGCAATCTGTATGATATTTCTCACATCTATCAAGCCATTTTCTGACCGATTTCCAAGTGGTCTCAGCCTGATCTGATCTGGGCAACGGCTTTATGTTGATATCTTTCGCGTCTATACTCCCTAGTCAGCTCCAGTGTATCTCACATCGGCCATACAAGCCCAAACTAACCATTGATATCGATCGTATCGAGAGCCGCCCAAACATGTCCGATGTCCGGCCAAACAATTTGTGGCCGTTTTGGAGAACTCAGAAACACAAGCGTCACATCATCGACGTCTTGCTCTAGTGGATGCTGCCTCAGTACGGCATCTTGGCTTCGAATTCTCAGGTTTTGACGAGAATGCTCTAAGGCCCCAAGCCACATTGCACAAAGTCCGCAGGAACGCGAGGATTCGGTGAGTTCTGAAAGAGCTCTGGTGCTGATTGGCTGGATCAGCTCGTCATCGCGACAAAATTCACAGAGGGTTCCATCTTGCACCGAGAGAAATTTCGTGGGAGGTGTAAGAGCGCTGGAAGAAGAAATTGGAGTCGACATATTTTCCAATGATTGTAAATTGTGTTTTTGGCCTTTGCGACGCGATAGAAGTTGAGCACTGAAAGGATGAGTGAGGCGAAGCACGGCAACTTTTAGCCGGCCTCACAACATACGTCAGGCGCACCCCCATCGTTGTGGTTGACCCATGAAGGCTTCACTCACGGGTGCAACATTCTTGCAAATGACTGAAGTTGCTTCCCCCAATCATTGCGAACACCCATGAATATAAACATTTCAGGGCCTCGCGAATCCTGTGGATTACCCCAGAAGACAAGATCTCGGCTCGCTCTGAGGATCAGGTGATCTTTGTCAATGAATTGCAGAATCACAGAGAATCTGCCATCGGTGGTGTAGATCTCATTATGTTCAAGGCTTGAACATTCCGGGGCTTTGAATGGGACAAGTTCAAAGTCGACCTTGGGATTAAGCCAGAACCGGCCGGTGAGATTACCGCTGTGCGCCTCGTCTCTATTTTCGTATTCGAACCTGATATATCTCCTCTGGTAGCCGTGCGGACTGTGATCATAGAAACAGTCAAAGTAGTCCATACAGTAAAGATCGAACTGGCTGTCGATAGGACCTAATTGAGTTGATTGATTTCTGGACACGGAAATCTCCAAGGATTCGTATGCAGCCCGCGCTTCTTCAACCTTATTTTCCTCTTCCTCTCTTGCATCTTCTTTACGCTTTTGGATAGTCTCTTTGCGCTGGAAAAGCTCTCTTTTGCGTTCCTCCCGCTTCTCTCTCAAGTGATGGTATTCTGCTGCATGAGGTCCATTGTACATTATAGTTTCGTCTGGGCTGGTCTCATCAAGGTCTGAGATATCTTCATCAAAGTCCCAGAGTATAATGCCATTTCTCTTGTTAACTGCCTGAGAAACGCGATGGTACCAAGTAGGTAATTCTAAGGATGAAGTCATTGTTGAGATGATGGGTGATGGAAATTCGTAAAGAGCAATTAGGCATCGCGGGGTTAACAATTCAGTGGCGAGGTGCGCTAAACTTTAGCTGTTCCAGCTCCCAGCAATTACACCGTTTGGGTTCCCCAAAGGTCAGCTTTAGAGCTGAACTGAGTAGATAGCATGAGTGACAGGGATTAAAAAAAAATATAAACGCTGTTGCTTGAGGATGAAGAGCAAGAAAATGCAAAAAATTGAATCCCCGAAACCTGGATCGAACAAGTGACCTTTCGGTGGCAATATCAGTTACAGCCGAACGCTCTTCCAGCTGAGCTATTCGGGGAGAAGGTCTGGATTCTTGACGGTGAGTTTGCAAAATCAATCCACAATCTTCCCCCGACATGAAAATGCACCAAGTCGAACTGAGCATTCGGATCAAGTGCCGTTCATTTCGTTCAGTCTGTTGAACCCCTCACGGCATTGCTATACAATACTGCGACTCTTACTAGGTAGTCATCTCTTTGCTAGTGTCATTGATCCATGCGCAATTGACCTTCTGAATAGAGCCTCACCGAAGTAACCTTGTCGCTAACAAGGGTTTCACGTCAACAGCACTGCAACGTTCCTCGTTACCATTCGATCTCCGCTCCATTTCCGAATACTACTTCCGACTCATCACCCGGAAATCCTCTTCCTCCCTCTTGACACTGACTCATTCCCCAATGCGAAAATGTAAGCGAGGTCACAATGATGCCAGAACTAGTAACTCGGTGAAAAACACCGCCGATCACGGTGCCGATAACTCCGATCGGCGACACCCCGCAACAATCCATATCATATCGATTCGAGCACGCGATCATTCATATTATCTTTCTCAACTTCAATAGCCCTCGCAATGGCAACGCAACGATCATCGCTAGGTCAAAAGGCTGGCTGGTTGTACCACGAGTCGGGAATCTCTGCTGTGTATTCTGCTGGTAGAGATGCCTGGCTGCTTATTCTCTCACGGACATGTCGCATGTTTGCATTCAAGGCTGTCACGCTTACGATAGCGCAGTTCTTCTCTGAACTGGGGTTTTCTGATTTCAGGATTGGTTTGTTCATGAGTTTGACGCTGTTGGGTGACGTTGTGCTCGGTTTGGTCGTAACGCTCATGGCCGATGGGCTTGGTCGGCGGAGGGTATTGGTGGCGGGTGGCTTTTTGATGGCTGTCTCGGGCGCGATATTCTCGGTCTTTGAGAATTTCTGGATTCTCCTGTTCGCTGCTGTCGTTGGTGTGGTCAGCGCGAGCGGAAGTGACTTTGGTCCGTTCCGAGCCATCGAAGAGTCTATGCTGTCTCACATCACGACCCCGAAAACGAGAGCTGATGTCTTGGCTTGGTACATCACCAGTTCGAGTCTTGGTGCTGCAGGCGGTGCGGCGCTGGCAGGAAGATTTGTCGAAAACATGACAAAGCGAGAGGGGTGGAATCTTGTGAGGGCATACCATGCGACTTTCTGGGTATACATCCTGATGGGTGCGCTGAATGTCTTGTTTGCGTTTGTCATGAGTAATAAGACAGAAGCTCATCACGATGACGCTTCGGAAGCTTCCGACGAACTAGCTGAAGGGCTTCTACGCGAATCCATGGAGGAGGAGGAAGACGCTCGTAGGAGAAGACAGTCCATGACATCAAATCCTCCTGAGCCAGTGAGTCGCTTTTCAAGCGTTTCGTCTGGTACCAGGTCTGTCATGTACCGGTTATGGTTTCTCCTGACCATCGATTCTCTGGCCGATGGAATGGTTTCGGAATCTCTCACGACTTACTTCCTCGATCACAAGTTTTCACCTTCCAAGACTACCCTCGGAAACATCTTCTCATCAGCCCAAGTGTTGGCAACCGTCTCAACAGTCTTTGCAGGACCTCTATCTCGTCACCTAGGTCTTATCAACACCATGGTTTTCACTCATCTGCCGTCTTCAATTTCAGTTCTGTTCTTCCCTCTACCCAGTGGTCTGGTTCTCACAGTCATACTCCTCTTCATTCGCATGGGTCTCAACAACATGGATCAAGCACCCAGAGCAGCCTTCATCGCGGCCGTTGTCAAGCCTGAAGAGCGCACTGCTGTCATGGGAATCACTTCGACGCTCCGAACCCTGGCCATGGCCACTGGTCCTTCGCTGACTGGAGGACTTGCTGAATCTGGGAAGTTCTGGATTGCGTTCTTGGTGGGTGGCATCTTACGAATCATGTATGATTTGGGTCTCTGGTTTATGTTTGTAAACATGAGACTGCATAGTCACGAGACGCATCATGAGGAGTCAGTCCCAAGAGGGCAGTCTATTGATGAAGAGGATGTGGAGATGTTGCGGCAGTCAATCGAGAGCGAAAGTTCTGATGAGGAGCATCGAAAGTGATGCATAAAAGAAGCTACTCCAAGATGAAATACTGAGCGGACAAAAGAGCCTGATGGTAGTTGTACATGTGATCCGACCGCTGAGGCCTAGTGCCGTAGCTATGAAGATGATTCTGGGTACACAGAAATCAGATGCTGATATGAAGTAAGGTTTAAGGGATTACGAGTAAACGACAAAGCATGTGAACTTGGGATATATGTCATATTCATAGAAATGATTTTATGGTATATAAAAGAACATGGGTATCCATATCGTCGTGACTCATCTAAACAACGCCTTCAAGATTAAAAGATTAAAAGCACAACCAAGCAATCGCAACCAATGACCCCCCAATCGCTGTCATGAGTTCAGACCCAGACAGAACGCACCTCGCAGCACTTTCCTCATCGCTGCTACTGCCACTTAACGCCTCTGACATATAGGTCATGGTGTTCGGCGTAGCAGGATAGTAGTCGTCGTTGTAGGTCGAATTCAACGTCACCCGCCCAACAACATCGCCAGATTCGAGACGAATGTAGGACTCTACGTCCCCCTTCTCCAACATATCCTCTGTGACAACGATCTCTCGTGCACCGCGGATCCAATCGCCGTAACCGCCATACCCAGAATGCTGTCCATAGCACAGATGGATACCGTTGCCTTCGACCGTCATTCCTTCGAGTTTCTTATCCCAGCGATAGCACCACGTGTTCCCGTGATCATGACCAGAAAAAAGCCCGATGACTCCAGGAACAGTAACCAAAGCCTCCATGAAGGGCACGTCCTGGCCTCCGTAATCACAAGTCTCGTTGGGGTCTGCATTCTCACACCACCCTGCTCCTTGCTGAAACACCGGAGGATCCTCGTTGATGCCCGGTTGGTAGTTCTTCCGGATTCCAAGCTCTGTTTGGAGTGCAACTGTGGCGTTGACTGGAACGTGAACGAATGCTAGTGATGGGAGGGTTTTGTTGTACTTGTCGTTCAAATTGATACTTGTTTCATTGAACCAATCAACAACACTCTGGTCAACCCAGTTTGGCTGATACGATCCCTGATAATAGTTACCGCCACGACTATCGAAGAACCATAGGATGAGATTCGGGCTGCAATCGCTGGTATTGGTGCAGTCCGAAGGGTAAACAGGCAGATAGTAATTTGTTGTGCCCGACAACTTCTTGTTAACCATTTTCTGCGTGCGCGCTCCAGGGAATAGCTGTTCGCGCTCTAGAATATCGTCGCCAGCAATGTTATAGTTATGGTCATGGTTGCCATATGTAGATGCCCAGGTCAAGCTGCGGTTGACGATTGGCTCAACAATCATGTCAACGTAATGCGTGCTGTTGTGAGCAAATGTTGAGTCTCCATTGATGAGATCGCCGTTAAGAACGACCAGATCAGGCCTGTCGTAGTCGAGGACTTTGCGGATCACTTCAACAGAATTGCGATCCTGTTCGGGACCTGTTGATGATTCATCTATAACCGAGGGTCAATTGCAATTCTTGCCGTCGATTGAAGAACTCACATTGTCCAAAATGCATATCGGAGAAGATGGCGATCTGAAAAGTACCATTCTTGGTGAACCGCAATGGCTCAAGATCGGTGTTGTTGACATCGGTAGCATAGCCAAGAGCAGCTAAGAAAGCTAAGCCAACAGTATGCCGTGTTGTAATCATGATGGACTAATTGACGATATCAATGAGGACAATAAACGAAGTCGGTCACGATAGTTCTGGCCAAGCAATTGATCGACATATCGGCGGTCCAGCAGTTTTAAGATAATGCTCGAAAGGAAGCATCGTCACATCGATGCGTCATTCCTAGAGGCATGAAAGAAAAACACTATTCGACGATGCCTAATCAGTCTAGCCCTGGACGACGCACGGAGGTTAAAGAGGGGAAAGCATGCGACATCGTGTCAGGTCGTCGTGGTCAGGCGCGTAGGCCCAGCAAGGGAGACAAGCAGTGGCGCTCTTCTGAAATCTACAGCGATGGGCCTAACGTTTTAGCTGGGAGAGGAAAACAAGTAACGGCAAAGACGGGAGTGTTTGAGAGTTATGCTGTTAGTCTAGTGAATTGGACATCGATGATGCATTGTCTCGAATAGATAGAGACTATCTTGATACGAATATTATAGTTTAGAAGCTACTGAACCTGTTGATCAGGTATATCTACGTCCATCTGCCGAACTCAATCACTTCAGGTCTGATGTGATGCACCGATCGATTTCGGTTCCGGGCCCGAGATGTGGGCGCGCATTTTGACCCGACCACCTTCGTCATCCCGTGGAGCTAGCAAACTCTAAAGGAGCGTAGCCCTGAAATTGATGAATTTTCTGATCAATAATCGCTTCATTTGACGCGTAAGTCTCTGCGTCAACATTACCTAAGCCCTGTTCAAGACATGGGAACTTGACTTCAGCTGATGATTGGAGGCCGAATGCGGTAATTGACCATGCGCCCACTTTCCGTGATGGGTTTGACTCGCGGGTTAGTGAGTGGGATAAATACCATGGACCAGATCGAGCACTGGTGTCTTACCAGACCAGCCGTTCTTATTGTTTCCTTGGCAGGTCTTTGTTGACCCTGGCTCGATTCCCCTGTCTGAAGGTTCTGGCAGTCACCGACACTGGTTAATGAGGAATGCCAAAAGTCCAGCATTTGAGTCTATAAACTCGCGACGATGAGCTAATTGCTGGACCAGACACCGCCTACTTGGGCCTCAACATTGAGATTGATGACGTCTCGGAAGACAGACTGTAATCTGTTACATTGAGCCCTTGTCAATCGCAACCTTATTTTAGTTGTTTGATCATTCAAGCAGTCAGAATGACTGGTGAAGTGTAAATCTTCAACGACCGAAGCTGCATTGCACGGTTGAAAGCCAAGGTTGCGAAAAGGCCGCCCATGACTGGGAGAAAATTCGTAGCCCAGCGCACTCTTGTATGTTTGGGAATACGAAAAATAATACCGAGATTTGCGCTCTCGTGGGTCATGGTAAGAACTTGGTTCAGTAGCCGACCTGGCAATGGAGTGATTGACTGCACGGCGAAATTTGCATGACTTGGACAATTCTGCACGGCCCAAGTTAAATGACTCGGGAATATTTGGCCGGAAAGACAGTTCTTCCGAGATGACCATTGCAACTATCCCAGCGAAAGCTTCCGTCAAAAGTTCCTGCGTAACCTCCTCCTTCGGATGGGGCTTCCGTTAGGTCAGATCCGCGAGTATCACAGAAACTTTCTTCCCAGCCAGTTTCTCCCACATTTATTTGTAAGAAAGAGATTTAATTGGCACCACGGTATTCGTGACAGTCACATCATCACCTCACTCTGTGAGATCATCGGCTGTCTGCGAAGATCATGGCGAAAAATAAGGCGTTACCCTACAGTATGCCTCGCGAAATCATCTACAAATACCTCTATTCCTCAGTGATCCTGCTTTCCCAGATAGACTGAATTGACAGAACAAAATATCTTTCGAACTATCAAGAACATGCGGAGTTCAGAATTGCAGTGATAAGATGCTGTTGATTCTGGGTCCTGGTTCCCCCAAGTTGCAAATCGTCGGTTTACACTGCCCCACGACACCTTAAGTTCCGAGATCGATCGACGGTCCATCTCCTCCTCCCAGGCCCCTACACCGCAAACCGCTCAGATACAGTTTGCAGATCCCTCAGCTGTCGTGGCCCGCCTTTTAAAAAGCGAACTCAGTCACTACGCGTTACCAATTGTATGCCGTTCTGCATACCCTAATGCACGGGTTGTCCCGTCCACCTGAAAGTGGCTGGCGTACAGTGTAAGACAACAACCTATAAGCGGTAAAAGATCGTGTGCAGCTGAGACATAGTCATCCCTTACTTTCCACATTTACTACGGGATTGGATGAGCCAAAGAGGGATTGGAATGATGTCACAGAACAAGCAATGATCTGTGACTTGAGGTTGCTCAAGTAAGTGCATATGCCGGTTATGAAGTCTTTTTTTGGTTCCGGCATATGCACTGTATACGTTACTGTAGTGCAGCGGTATAAGAAAAGAGACATTGAAAGGTGAGAGCTTAAGACAAAGAAGAATATTAAACGTCTGTTTTGTGCCTTAATCTCCGTGGGATCGAATTTGCCTTAATGATTGTTGATACACGCACTAAAAGCTACCTATTTTGAGGTCAGGGATAACATAAGACGACAATGTTGAGTGTTAAGCCGGCTGTTGCCGTGGAGGCTCATTTCCCCTTGTCCAAGAACTGTTTAAGTGAGTTTACTTGCCGACTGCGATTCAGACCCCCGACTGACACGACCAAAATAGGCGTAGAAACAGCATACACATATGACTACATCATTTTCTACAGATGGCTATCACCAGAATTATACGAGAGAGGTCGAGTCATGGCGCGTTTGGTTGCTGAGATGATCGAGAAGAAGAGCCGCCGCATATGGCTTGACCAACACCAGATGACGAGAAGCACCGAAGCTGGAGAAGTGACCAAGAGCATTTCCAATACATTCTTATCCGTGTCTCAAATCATCATTCTTGCCGCCCCAGGCGACTGGGATAGGTTTACGAACCCAGATGACATTCATCGATGGGAATGGGAGATGAGTCTCAGAAGTGGTGAGCTCAAGAGAGACACAATCTCAGACTATCTAAAGCTAACAATGACCCTCCAGACAAACAAGTTTGGCTACTTCAATACGGATTACCAGACAATGGGCAGGCATTATCCAGAGCACAATTAGCAGAGGGCTTAGAAACATACTGCCCAAGACTGGCAGAGCTCTTCAAAAGTAGGGATGTACACATACGGTCATTGACGATGGATAGCATTGACGTGGTACTTAAAGAGATCGCCGAGGCTGCACAGTAAGAAATGCCGAAGGCGGGGTTCGCGGTGCACAGGGAAGACATGAATGTAGCTGCAAAATGACATCTGTGACTCGGGGAACCCGGCAGTTCAGTATAGTTCCACGATCGTCGCGGTGTGGCGTTGTGCCGAAAGTGTATGGAGTGGATAGACGAATGCAGTGAGACACGCATTAGGACCGTGACGGAGACGGTAGTGAAATTTGGCGGGGTGATGCTAGATTATGGTGAGCAGGGCCCAGCTTAATTAAATAAACAATTATCTGCTGGACATTAATGGACATACATGCTTCCCTCAATCACATCCAATACCACCATGTCTATGTTCGATTCCGTGACACCCGGCTCTAGCCATCTCGCCAGCCTCGATCAACCAATTACTTCTCAAGTGGGAGCAATGTGTAGGTGGTGCATCACTTTCCTACTGCGATTCAGAAAGCTGACGTCCAACTAGCAAAAGAAAGCCATGCCATCCAGACTGCCTTCAAGGCGGGCAAAGAATATGTAGTCCCCTGGGGAAGCCAAGAAGAACAACGCATTGAAGAAGCAATGCAAGACCTCGGCTCTTACCTGAGCGATCTTGATCCCTCCCTCTCCTACGAGGGCACTGATAAGAAAGTGGTATGGCGCAAGTCCTGCTGGTTTGCCAGTCAGGGCATTGGCCATCCTTTCTTGGACTCTGAGGCAGACATTGCCAAATTTGATGGTGATCTTAAAGATGGTCTTACGGGCCTTCAAGCGTTACATGATTCGAGAACTCGAACCTCGGCACATTGTCTGAAGTCTGCGCTCGACAGTGCTTTGGTAACGACTAGCATGGCTGTTGGTATTGACCCTGACTTGATGCAACGATGCACGGTTCGCTATCGTGCTATCAAGTATACGCCTCATGCTGGTGCTCCAGGTGGCATTGGCCTTCATCCAGATGGCAATCTGCTGTCTGCCCTCATCACAAACGGGCCAGGACTTCGGGTCTATGACCTCGACGGAACCGTGCGCTTTCCTGGACATAAAGGCACAATCATGATGGGTGGCTCAACGCTCTACCGTTGGGCCAATGAGTTCATCCCGACTTTTCACGATGTTGATATCAGTGGGAATGAGGTCAAGGTATCCATTGTGGCCTTTTTCAACTTCCCCGACATGGAGACGATACCGAGGACTTTGAGAGCCGAGGGAGATAATTTCTTTCATGATATTCGAAGGATCAAGGAGGACGACAAACTTCCAAGTGGGGAGTTATCGGCACTATGGGATGTTATCATCAAGAACCACCAGCTGTCTCTGCCTCCAGTTCTTGCAAGTGGATGAGTTTATTTCTAACAGGGTGGTCTAGCTGAACTGTTCCTAATAAATAAGTGGATGCACAGTTCATTTATATCGAAATTATGTTATTTGATAGACCCGTGACTCCAGTCCAATGAGGTCTCGATTTACTGACAATTTTGATGCTGTTCCAAATCCATGATCCTATCGTGTCACTCTTGAGCTGACTGACAGACCACAATTTATGATGTAACCAATCACTTTAAGGGCGTACCACCGTGAGCGAAATAAACAGGTCGTTTACTGATTTCTAATCACGTCATATCATAAGCAAGCATCTTCAACAAACATGCGCAGCACTTCTAATATTTATATGCTAAATTCTCTCCACTTGCCTTGGCGATCTTACAATAATTAGAAAAGCTTCAGCACCATGTCGCAGCCAACAAAGATAAAAGCAGTCTTCTTTGACTTCATGGGGACATGCCTTGATTGGCACAGTAGTGTCGTGCAGGCTCTACCCCCCGCCATCCCCAAAGCCGAAGCCTCCAAATTCGCTCTTGAATGGCGGCGACGTTACTTCATCGCCAACAGCGAGCGCCTTGCCCAAAAGCTTGAGCCCGAGGATATAGACGACACGCTCATCCGCGTGCTTGAAAACGTACTGGAAGACTCACCAGAGTATAAGCAGCACTTCAAAGCGCCAATCAAAGAACAATTGATTACTGCCTGGCATTCTCAGCCAGCTTGGCCAGAAGTTAGAAAGGCAATTCAGTCGATCCGAGAAGATCTTGGTCTGGAAGTCTTTGTTCACGCCAACGGCACAACACGCCTGCAGCTTGACCTAACTCGCTTTGCTGGGCTCAGTTTCAACATGCTCTTCTCCAGCCAGCTATTGGGGACGTACAAGCCAGATCCTGAGGCGTACAACAAGGCGTTGCGACTCGTCAAGCTCAAGCCTGAAGAAGTTGTGTTGGTTGCGGCTCACGCATATGATCTGAGAGGAGCTCAAAATGTCGGAATCAAGACCATTTACATTCATCGTTGGACGGACGATGTTGATGAGGATATGGACAAGGTGAAGGGAGAGTTTGGTGCTTTTCTGGAAGGGATGGAAGAGCTGCCTGCCACAATTGAGAGAATGCAATCTTGATGAAATACTGGCGCTGTCAAACTGGCAAATGCCAACTGTTTCAATTCATTTCAAGTATTGGCTTTCTCGGTTCGATCAATGCTTTGGCTGCAGGCTCCACGCCACATCTTCCTCGGTCCACAGTGGAGTTCGACGGCAGACGCATGACATTCAGTATCAGCATTAGATAAATAGAATTGACCCAAGAGTCCAGAATGGCTAAAACTGACTATTTATAAGCAACTCTTCGCTTGCAAACTCCAATTTGAGGTTCGAGTTTGACGTGGTGGCACAAACCTAAAACTCCAATCAAAACATCAACATATTCACAAATACGACCCAATTACCTCTAAAAATAGCTCCGGTGCGCTGGCGCAATGGTAGCGCGTAGTCCTCCTAAGACTAAGGCTCAGGGTTCGAGTCCCTGGTGTATCGAACCTTTTGATGGTTGGTTCGTCAGGATGAGGTTCGCAAACTGTTTGACTTTTTGGCGGATTCACGTTGCTCTGCGGCATCGTTTATGAGAGTCTCTGGATTGCGGGGCTACCTATGGTTGGTCCTCTTATGAGCTATCATCGTATATGATATAAAATCAGAAGCTGATCTGCTGGCTTATATGACAGACTCATGTTGGACTGCACGATGGCACTATCAATTGAACACTCAATTGATTCACACTAGGCACAGAATAGCTTATTCGATAGTCACTGATGGCGGGGGACACTGTATACTTGTAGATTGGCCACCATTTCGAGCGCCGTCGTCTTACAGATCCATCTTGGCCATGGTATCTTCAGCTTCCTGCTTCCACTCCTCACGCCACCGAGACAAAGGCGGCCGTCTCTGAACAACATCACCTGCAGCCCAAGTCATGCGCTTCTTGTCCTGCTCCTCTGTAACATCGTTGTCGGGGCAGATGATGTAGAATTCGTTCTTTTCCATCTTCTCATACAGATAATCTGCCACCTGTTCCGCTGTCCAAGCTCCAGCTGGCTTCACGCCTCCCGGCGTTGCTCTTGTCTGTTAAGCATTGTCAGTCAGTTACCCTAAGCACGGCAGTGGTTTCTTACCAGACCAGTGTAAGTCCATCCGGGCACAAGTAGATGCACGCTGGTGCTTGCGTCTTTCAGGTCCCAGCTCAAATGCTCAGCCAGAGTCTTGACTGCAGCTTTGGAGGCATTGTATGCTGGATTTCCAGGTGGGTTGGTAATACCCTGCTTGCTACCAGTGATGACGATGCTCGTTGGCTTTGACTTGGCGGCGTCTTGGACCACGGAGAGAAACATGTTGATACCATGAATGACACCGAATAAATTGGTCTCAAGGGTCTTGTTTGTTAGCATTTGTCGCACCATTGTATTCTCCAACGTACATCTCTGAAGTAATCATCATCTCCCCATGTGCCCCTCAGACCTCTGCCAGCGTTCAAGACCAAGAACTCAATACTGCCAAACTTGCCCAAGGCGAGCTTCTTCAGCGTCTGCCAGTCCGAGGTCGATGAGACATCAATCTTGGAGGTAACGACGTCGGAGTCATTGGGGAAGTGAGTCTTGGTCAGAGCCTCCAGAGCTTCCTCGTTGTTATCAACGAGCAATGTGCGCATGCCCTTGCTGCGGCATGTTTTGGCAATGGCCAGACCAATGCCTGAGCCAGCTCCCGTGATCAAGGCAGTGGAGCCTGGTCTGAAGACGTCGGTTGGAGACATTTTTCAAGTTTCAGACAATGGCCTGGGGATTGGTAAACTTGGGTATCGAGGCAAGGAGGATATGTAGCTGATTAGAGGTTATGAAGTAGGTTTCATGGGATCAGCCTTTATATCACGAGTTCGGACTTAACGCATTGTCATCAACCCGAATGGTCATCCCCGCATCAGAGCAGACTCAAGGCGGGGCATTAGCATGACTGTTAGTAAATGTTAAGGCGGGGCAGCACGATACTCTTCTATTCACATCAGAATGGTGGACATAGAAGTAGTCTACCGCTTTCATCATCACTTTCATTAACAATTTGCATCACTTCCTCTCAAGGGGCGAGTCTGTTACGAACATCACCCCATTGAGTTGTCAATTGTTGGTCATCTTGGTCGACTATGTCCGTAAATCTAGCTTTGACTTGCATTATCCTGCTTTAATGCGTTCAGAACCGCTGTCATACCGCGACTTCGCAAAGCGAACACGACGTACATAGATCGATGACGTATATGCCTAGAGGCATCTGAGGAGAAAAGAACAAAGTACCCGTGCCACAGCCTTTAAACGAAAGAGTTCAAGCCGGCGCAGAAATCTCTCAGTCTACCATGTCAGGCAAAACACAGGGACGTAAAATCGCCATTATTGGCTCCAGTGGCCAGGTTGGACAACCGACAGTCAAGGCTCTTCTCGCATTTGGTATTCACAACATTACTACTGTCCGACACATTGAAGCAACAAGCAAATTGCAGCCTGAAGTCATTGTCAAACGTGGTGATCTGAAAGACGAGTCCTTCTTGGCGAGCACCTTCCAAGGACACGATGCTGTCGTGCTCATGTCACCTCTCCCCCACCTTGTCAGTCTGCAAGATTCAGCAGTTCGAGCAGCAGCAAAAGCTGGAGTTCGATACATCCTACCTGCAGAATTTGGTCCAGACCCTTTCGCGTCAAAGTTGATAGAGGACAACCAACTTCTCAGGACAAGAAGATCCGCGATCTGACTGAGGAATTCGGTGTGAGCAGTTGGATCTCAGTAGCCGTCGGCTCGTTCCTCGACATGAACATCAAAACTGGTCTTTGGGAATCGATGTAGAGAAACGCAAAGCTGCGATTTGGACAGGAGCCGTTGGCAAGGTCGCCACGTCGAGTGTTGCACAGACTGGCCAGGCTACAACTGCAGTATTGAGTCTCCCTGGACGTGACTTGTCCCGGTATAAGAATAAGGCTTTCTATGTCCCATAATATCATCTAAGCCAGAAGGAACTTCTGCTAGCAGTTCAAAAGGCAACAGGGACGGCGGACCAGGACTGGGAGATAGACTACCAGGATGTGAATGATGCACTGAGAGATCGTAACGACAAGATCCAGCAAAAGGATGCCACTGTCCCATTTGTCAAGTTCTTCCTTACTCATTTCTGGGAGGGGAGCGGAGGAGACTTTGAAAGCAAGGTCGACGCCAGTGAGGTGAAGAAGCTGTACGAAATCGGACTCCAGAAGGAGGCCGTCGACGACGTGCTTAAAAGGACAGTGGCATAAGCTGTCCAAACTTCTCGGCTAGACTTGACATAGCGAGTGAGGGATGAATAAAGCCCCTATAGCCAAAGGTGGGAGATTATTCCCACCAAGCTATTTAGTCAATAGAAAGTGTCGTCAAAGCATTAATCGGCAGTGTATCCACCTAGAGCGCCTTCTGTCTTACTTTGCCCACACTTTCCTTATTCTCAATAGTCTCCAGGGCAATGTATTGATGAAAGGAGGCCTTTATTCATTTACAATGGCCGCAGCATAAAGTTTCTCATTATCGTGCACACAACTCCTTCTTTTCTTACCTCCATTCCCTGCCATCCATCCATCGTCTCAGCCCAAAGGATATCATGGAATTTCCTCAACATTGACACGGCCAAAGTTCTCCACGAGATTGGTCAGGATGTGTGACTCCATGTGCTCACGCTTCTTAACAACGCTCACTGGCCAGTGACTCCGAACAGCCACTGCCATCTCCGGCTCTGGATCAGCCTCGTATCTATCCAGCGCCATCGAACTCTTCAGCAAGCCGATCTCCTGTGGGCGCATTTTTCCTCGGATGACTTTGAAGAGCGCTTGCGCCAAGTAGTGATTTCTTCGTTGGTAGTAGAGGCCTTGGGCTATCAGAATGAGAGTCGATCGTAGAAACTCAATTTCTTCTGTAGGTGCGTCCTCCTTGATGGCATCTATACTATCATAAC